TTAAATAGGAACTTTATTTATTTTATTTATTTTTGATTTAGTATTTTTATTAATATAAAATATTTTAGATTTTTATAATCAATAATAATTTTAAATAACTTTTGAATATTATATAATTTAGATTTCTATTTTTCTAATAATTTGATAATAATAAGTAATTCCTTATTATAGATTTCGTAATTATATTTAATAATATTATATTTCAAGGAGAAATAAGCTATTAAATATAAACGGCCCTTGTTATTATATTATGAGAGTATATCGCCTACAATCTAATTTAAAGTATTTGTTTTAATAATTATATAATAATAATAATTGAATATTATAAGAATTAGAATAAAGGTAAAGATATATTTTAATATTTTGAAAATGTTTTTTTAATTAATAATTCAATTTTATATATTCTTTTTTTTTAATAAATGATTTAGAGGTTCTATAATCTTAAAGAAGTTTTGAATAAAGTATTAATAGAAATTAATAAATTCTAGAAAATATTAAAGGTTTTTTAATTTAATTAATAATTTCTATTTGAGGATAATTTTAATTTTATTAGAATCTATTTTTATATTGTTAAAGATAATAATTAAATTGAGATATTTTGTTCTTTTTGTTTTGAATTTATATTTATTAATATTGATTTGTAATTTAATATTAATAAATTTTTAAACAATTTTGTAGATTTGTTTTTAATAATTTATAACATTCTCAAAATAAATCAAAATATTATCTAGATATACTATATAATTCTTATTCAGAAAATTAAAAAGAATATAATTAATATAATTCTGAAATAAGATAGAAGTATTATAAAGATTGAAAAATATTATTAGGAATTCAAATAAATCAAAGCGGATTGTGAAAGCAATCTTCTACTTATAGTCTTTTACAATTCATAATTTATTGAATATAATAATAATATTCAATTTGATATAAACCTTAGTATAACATAAAATATTGAGGGTTTTTTTGATTAATAATAATAAATAATGATTCTTAATAGTAATATTATTAAATTTATAATAATTTTAATAAATTCGAATATCCCTTTCTAATTTTGTAATTAAAAGAAATAAAATAATTAATCAGGAATGAGATTTATAAATGAATTTTTTATTTAGATTATTATTAAGCTATTTGCAAACAACTTAAAATTTAATTAGGGATATTGGGTAATCTTTGTTATAAGGAAACTCTTTGCCTAATATTATCTCAATTTTGTGATCCTAAGAGCATTATGGCAGAAGTTTATTAATAAAAGAGGAAAGGAAACTAGTGAATAGATTACAAAGTCAGAACAGTAACTTGCTTTGAATTTCTATTGTAAGTGGTACAAATCGATTAATTTTTTCTATAAACTTTTCGATATTGTTTTTCATAATGCTATAATATAATTAAATAGAATTGTTTGTTATTATACAATATAATTCGCAGGCTTTATCCAATTTGTCCCAGGTTACTTTTGTAATATAGATTTCCTGATTTTTATAAAATTGAATAAAACTATTAGCTATAAAGAATTTTATATTGCTTATTTCCTATTAAATATTTCATAAAATATCAATCGATTTCTCTAATAAATCTGGTAGTGGTGAAGTATTTGGTAATAGTAAAACATTTTGATTCCATAATAGTTTTTTATATATCCTAGAGCCGGCGATAATCCATGCTAGAGCTAGTTTTAGGATCGGTCGATTTAGTATTATTCTAATGCGGGTCTCAGTTCTTCCATTAATTGAATGAATGTGGCTGTAGTTTTCGTTGAGTGACACAAAATGGATAGGGTTTGTGCCTTTTGGGTTTCTCTCTATAGATACTGGAATCGAAGTGATAGGTTTTAAAAGTATTGATTGATCTTGGGATGGGAGAAAGGGAGTTTCGAGATTTTTGTTAACGATTTCTTTGATGAAGGCTTGATATAGAATCGAGGAGATAGTTTTCTTTAAAATTGATTTCCTAATAGGTATACATGGTATCGGATTAAGCGCGGTATCCGCTGGGGTTGGTATATCGTTGTGGTCGGGGATAACAGTTGCAATAGAGTTGATTGGATAACAGTATCTGGAGCAATATATAGATATGAATTTGAGGATTATTGCTGCCTAGTTGATGATGGGATTATAACATTGAAGCCATAGAAGGCTGAGGATTATAGGATCTGTATCGAAAAGGTTGGTGATATAGAATAAATCAGTTTCTTTATAATCGTTAATTCGTATATCTAATAATATGTATTGGGAAAGGATATTAAAGGTTTTTTTATTTACAAGTAATAGGTTTCGGGTGGTAGGGAGGGAGCATGTAGGGATGCAAAGCTTGGAGATAAGGATTCTATCAATGAATTTATATTCTATAGTGCTGCTATTTATTAGATTGATAAACAGAATGATCATATTAGACACAAGGAAAATTTTCGTTGAGATTTTAAGAGATTTGCTATTTATTGTTCTAAGATACAAAGGATTTTTAGATATAATCAATCTTTTAATCTATAAAAATAAATTTTCCATAAAGGATCTCGATTTGTAATTATAAACTGAAATTACTCTTTTAATATATCTAGTTAGGGAATTGAGTTTCCGCTATTATCCGAATTTATAGAGCCTTCAACAAATCCATTTAGATCTACATTATTAGTAGAGGTTGAAGAAGTATATTGGAATGGTGCTGTAGTAGTTGAGGATATATTTTGATAAAAAGGAATGTAGGTATTATAATAGGGTTTGGGGTTATGATAGTAATTTATAGCAAAGAAATAGTAAGTATTTGGAGTATATTGATTAATAATAGGGGGGTGATTGAAGTATAGTATAGTTCCTAAGTTAGTATTGTATTTTGTATTGTTGAGTTGTTTTTTTTTATAATTAGTTTTAATATGGTTAGGCTTTTTGTAATAAAGGCATAGGCCGAGGTTAAGATATTAGTCTCGAGTGTAACGTGATGGGGTTCACTGACTTTGGCGAACAGTATCTAGCTGTATAAAATCATTGAAGGGATTAGATGTGATAGTTGTAAAAGTAGCAACAGACTTCTTTTTATTGAGTTTGGATTGATTGTGATTAAAGTTAATATTTTGATTTTTATACTGATTATCGAGATAGGTTTTTTCTTTCAAATCGTTATAGATTCCTTGCTATCAAATTATCCATACATTGATATCAATTATTAAGGGTTTATTAAAGCAATTGACCGAAATATTGATTAGTTTTTGTAAGATCTTGAATTTGAGATTAACAACTTGTTATTCAGCGATTTTCTTATATTTAATAGCAAATTGTTTGAATTCAATAATAAAGTTATCAAATGATATCTTCTTTATTTTATATTTGTTATAATCCATAAAAGCTTTATAAAAAAGATTTAGGGTTTGATATTGCTTATTCAATTTATATTAGATATTTACTATAATATATTATCCTAAAAACCAAAGATCAGAGTTGTACGGATTATTAGTAATTATATCAAAGTAGATTTGATTGTTTGTATAAATTAGATTGAAAAACAAATTGATAAGGAATATAATCTTTTGGAATTCCAATTCGTTTTTATAATCTGTAATTAAGTAATAATTGATTATATTACAAAAAGCTATATATTGATCCTAGTGTTTTATGATGTCCTGCTTATTGCTATTAAACTTTTTGGGAGTAGTGAGATATTTGTAGTGGAATAGCATTTGTGAGTTATTGCGAATAACAATTTTTAATATTTCAATTATATCTTTCAAATCAACAATCTTCAATTAAGTATTAACAGCTTAGACTTATACTATAGCGACTTGAGCTTATAATGAACTAATAATCGATTTAATTGATTCAAATATTACTTGGATGGTAACAAAATATATAGCATTTAGATTATTAAATAAATCTATAAAAAAAGAGATATCAATTTCAATAAAATCAAAAATGTGATTTAAGAAAAGGAATTATAGGAATAGATTAGATATAGGTATTTGATTGCTTATCTTCAGGATATTTTTGTGGTTGCAAAACAACCTTACAGGGTTCCTGAGCGGCGGTAACAGGGTTATATAGAAGATCGATAGTAGGAATGATTAGTACAATCAAAGATGATTTCGATAAGATTATTTAAATGAAATTGTAATAGCTTTTTTGTTGATAGTATAAACTATTAAGGTGCGAGTAAAGATTTATATTATATTATAGGAGTAAAAGGGCTATAAAAGAATGAGGCTCTACTTATAGGAAGTAGGGCGCGCTAGTATACTATGCCTGAGGCATGAAGGCAACTACAGATCATGTAGTTGGCGCCGTGACAATTCTACTAATTAATTTTTCTAAATTAAAAATAACTTTTGAAATATTTAAATATCTTTTTGATATAAAACTTTATTATATATTTAATTATAAAATAAAATATATAAAATATTATAATTTAAATTAATTCTTTGTATATTTATTCTATTTATAATTATTCTAAAAATCTTTATAATATCTTTTTCAATATATTTATTCTTTATATTATAATTATAATAATATTAAAATTTCAAATCAATTAATTAAAATATTATTGAATTATTTAAAATGTAAATTTTATAATTACTCAAAATAGTGTGGTTTTTGAGATAATTGAAAAAAGGGGGTGGTTGGAAAGTGGGGTAGTTGACTTATCTCTTCTCTTGTCAACAATTACAGATGGATTAGAAGTTGATTTCCCTACATTACAGTTTTACAAAATTACGGTAGAAATACAAGATACGATCGGATCCCACACGGCAAACAAGAATCATGAAAAATTTGACCAGCTCATCCCGACACGCTGAGCAATCCACGTCGACTTAGACACAGAATCTTTGAGAGAAGATATAAGATGTCATGTTTCTTATGACGAAGGGGCACACGCGAACAGGGTAATACATAAAAGTTAAAAAGTGTCGAATCACACTTGGTATCACGAGACATAGACGATCTGGATATTTCACTCTCGAATCAGAAAGTCTTATAAAATTGGTATATAACGAGCTACCGATAAAAGTTCTATTTGAAAAGATAAAGAAGACGCTTCATCCACTTGCCATATTTGTGAAATATGTGCGATTAATTGAAAGAAAAAGCCACCGAACCGTTGAATACTCCCACGGTTTCAAGTATATACAAAAGAATCGAATAAGTTGAAGGTATGTGAAACAATCTGAACGAAATATACAAATATGAGGCAATGAATAACACCTTCCTACATCTCCGTGATGCGTTGAAACTCAAGACTCGGCGCCCTCACCACTAGACCGTAATCTAGTTAGGATTGCACTGCGAATACCAGATGCTATATGCGACACAACTTGTGCCAGGGACGCAATTAGTGGCTCCAGTCCAGCCCTGTCCACCGCATTGGTTCCACTCATTGACAAGTGGACCGCCAGTCGAAGTAGGACTGGCGCTAGTTGTTGTTATGGTCGTGAGAGTAGATCCTGGAGCGGTCGTAGTAGCGGAGGTGGTAGTAGAAGTGATTGAAGACTTGCTGGTACTAGTGCTAGTAACAGTGCTAGTTATGACTGGCACCGTTACAGCTGGCTTTCCGAGATCCACGTTGACCGCATCGAGGAATCCGGCATTTGCGTAAAGTTGACTCATGTCCCACATCATGACGCCGCCAAAACTGGAGAAACTCTTTGAGTATGCGATGACACTCGCGAGAGCGGCCCCGGAGGTGTACCCAGCTCCAGCTCCAGTGTTTGATGGTATGCCTAGCATGACTTTGACGTTAGGATTTAGTGATACTGTCTTGGCCCAGTTGTCCCAAGTATCAAAATTGAAGTTATTCTGTGTTGACACACCGGGGACGAATGATTGTACTCCGCAGTAATTGTTGTAGAATTGCACCCATACGATATCGAATGATACAGTTCCATCAAGCATTGGTCCATCTGCGGCATCAGGATAGGGACACTGTGGAGCAGCGGATAGAAGCCATGTTTTGTTTTTATCTGTGTCCATCAACGAGCGGAGCTGATTTCCAAATGCAGGCATATTGGATACTGTGCTTTCGAAGTCAAAATCGAATCCATCGATTACAGCCGTTCCGAAAGGTCGGATGTTACCCGAGGTGTCAGGTCCAAACCATGACCAAAGATTATTCGCAGCGGTTGTGGCAGCTTGTGTGGATGTGAAACCGCCCTCAGTATAAGTGGCCCCGCCAACAGAAAGCAAAATTGTCTTGCCATATGTTTCTTGACATGTGGTAATGTCGGCCCTAGATTGGATGTTTAGAAATGGTGCTAAATAAGGAGTTGAGAATTTATACTTACTCGAGCTCTGAACAGTAAAATAACGTGGATCCTGAAATTACCGTACATGGATCTCCTTGGTTGGCAAAGTTGAGGACTGGAGTATTGATAGAACTCAAAAATGCGAGCGGAATGATCTACGAGATTGGTTAGAAAATAATATGGTATTTCTCAGGAGAGCATGTTCGTACGTTAACTTCCGTGTCTTTATCATGTTAGCTTTGCTAACATATATCATTTGGCTGAGGCCACTTACTTTGACAATAATATGAGAGTCGTTGCTGGACATAAGCTCCAGAGCCCTGTCCATACGAGTTTTGTCCTTTTCTGAGTTAATACAAAATTCGCAGATAATGCTAGAGACGTTCAGGCAAGCTCACCCCAATAAACGGCAACATTACTCTGCGAGGTCGGATCGAAGCCCGCAATTACAGAAGGAATACTGGCAATAATGCCCGCAAGAGGAGCAAGTGTAGAGAGCGACGGCATGATTAGAAACTAATTCGATTTCGATTGTGACTGTAAGTCTGGAATGAATTGAGTGGATCTTGAGAGTTTCGAGAAGTCCGGCTATCGAAAGAATTAAGTATGAGTGAAGTCTTGTTGCTTATTTGAACCAATCTTTGGATGGTAGACTCGAGCTTCTTATACTTACATTTGCTATTTTCACGGCCAACACTCAGGCGATTACATAGCAGTGTATTCGTGGCTCGTCTCAAGGTGACCACACGTTACTCAGATAATTGAGTTTAACAAACAGCAACATGTCAATCAGGTTGCAATCAAAAGACAACTTTACATTGAGTTCTTAGAGGTGAGAGGTCAAACGACGATGTTGACAATTTCCCAAAACTGGGATTCCCACATTCCAACCATTAACGCCCACGTCCATTTCTCACGGAGGTAAGGGGTTGTTGAAATGACTTCTCGATAAGGAATTCAATATCCGCAAGGTCCTGATTAGTATCTACTTTTGACTGAAAAGGTGATATAACACTCTCCTCGGGAACAAGAAAAAGCTCCAAGAATCATCACGGGCGCAGAATTTGAGGAAATTAAGGAGTTGAATCTTGATGAATGGTGGTCAAGTTGCGTGTGAGAGACATCTGGAATTACCTTTCCCCGGCACATGCAAAACATTGAATATCAAAATATGGAAGGTGCCCTTCTTCTAGGTGATGAAATGCCCGGTCGATCGTCAGGGGTACAAGATTGCCGATAAGCCACTTGGTGGGATGAAGGAAAAAGTGGATTTACCCCAGCGGTTAGGAGAAATCGACTTCAGCTTGAAAGGCTTCAATGAAACGAATGATAAAAAAGCTTGTTGTAACGTTACTCGGTGACCTGATCAGGCATGCTGTGAGCAACCGAGCCGGCCCTGGACAAGATTTCAGAATACATGTCAAATGTTTCAATCCGTCCATTTCGGTCAGAAGACTTCTGCCGAAGGAATGAATGATCAGTTTTACCGACAGGTCTTTGCGATAAGCAGATAAGGAACTGTGTACACAGAAAACTTTGACTGCTTCTAGCAATGCTTCGTCATGCCCGTGTTCCACGAGATTATATCTTTCCATCGTGATAAATCTTAATAGTCAGGCGTGTCTAGTAACCCTCCATTGCAACCCCAGTGAGTGAACTTAAGAAGAACTTCGGCATTAATTCGGGCGCTAATCATAATTGAAATATTGGCATTCCCCTATTTTTCGCAGCCAACAATACGTCGTACCTAGGTCTTTGGGGCTTGAAGTGGAAGCGAAATCTAACCACAAAGTCCAAGAGTTCAAGAGTGCTTTTAGTAAGGATGATCTTTGGCGTGGTCGGTATTTGAAAAGACATGTCGCAAATACCGGCATCAGATGAGCTTGTACCCCATAACGTTTGAGATCGACGCGCCACTCCACCACGTGAGATGAGAAGGTACACTTACACACAAATACTGCTGATGCAACAGCGTCCCGTGAAATTAAAAGGCGAGTATTTGACTACTCACTGCTGCTGGTGCTTGCAACGAAATCTGACCCCCGTGAAAGCTTTCGCAGAAGGCCATTTTGGTCAAGCTGAATGAACGATTGTGTGCCTCAATTGTATGGCCTCAAACTCTGGAACATACACTATGTAATCACCGATCGATCCTGGCGGTCTGAGTATGAGACAACGCGGCAATTCAACAAGCTTGGAATCTTGGATGTAAATATTCTTACTTTGCTGGGAACACCAAACTTTAGAGTTTGAAGGCAAGGTATGCTCGCTCCAGTATGTCAGTGTTGGTGTGTGATGATGATCCCGTGATTGATGATTAAGCAAGCTTACCTCATCGTCAAACTCAAACTACACGTCCGTCAACTGCACTTGAAACATCAGAAACTAATAATAAGATTACGACATCTATTAATCTTACGTACGATAGGCTTATTCCTAATTCGCTTGGATACTTCGTCCTCAAAATGTTGCACCCATGTCATGTTATGATCATCGCGCCTGCCACCCCAAATAACAAGCCCTCTCAGGGTCCCATGTATTGTGAACAAGAGAAGGGCGACACAATAACACTCACGATCCCTGACTAACTTCCCGATTATTCTCAATGAACGCTATTCATATAACTGCGAACTATCTCTTGCTTCTAGTGATAATTTGAGCTTCGGATGCACAGGAATCATAGTGCAAGCACGATACGACCTGTTGACTGGCAAAGGTTCTTACCGAATTCGGTTCGATTCTTCACTGGATGATGTCAACTTACTAGTCTCAAGGCTGGCCTGCCGCATTTGTAGCAAGAAGTACCTGGGGGACGGTAGTTAGTGCTACCCATTAACACTCAGAAAATGGTTACCTTAACAAGGCAGGTGCGATTGTTATGTCGAGGCTATCAGCCACAAGCGATGCCAGTACGTCTTTCAGAAGCCAGACCCTTTCACTGGAATAAGAGCTTTTTTCTGTTTATCAAAACACGTATTGAGCATCGACGAGCGTCTGTTCTCGATGACCGGTAGTACGGTTACTACCAGATGGGATCTAGAAATGGAAGGAAATAATATTGGTGATCAAAGATAAATTACGTTGAATTTGTCGTGCAAATGGAAATAATAAATTATATTAAGAATAACAAAAAGCTTGTAGACCACGAAGCACGTTGGTGTCAAAGATTTGAAGTATGTTGAGCATTTTTGTTATCTGTAGTATGTCCTATCAGAAGGTGGAAACTCAATATCGGTCTCTCTATCACTTTGCCAGCCAGCGACACATCTCAACCTGTCAAAGAATACATCCTCCACCACTACAATCGCAAAGATTTAAAACCATCAAAGGAACACCTCATAATACACATATTTAATCAAAGAGCTCTTTCACTAATAACCGATACACCTCAAGTAGCGGGGGGATAACAGCCCTAGATCACAGAGATAATCTTAATTAAGAATCCAGCCTTAAAAGCTCGAGGGCAATTGTATCGTGAAAACAGTCAATGAGAATTTGATAGTGAGTAGTCAACTTGTCGTCAAGTGCTGCGTACAAGCTCTGATAGCACCCACTAACACGTAGACCAGCAGTCTCTTGCTGGTACTGGGTATCATGCTTCCCATAATGACACATGAAAGGTACAATGTTCATAAACAAGGGCCGATATTAGTGCATGTTTAGACTCGATGGCTATCACGTCAACTATCCAGTGTTCCATTGTTCATTTGTTGGTCCAACTTTCTTTTCTTATTGAGGGAGGAGGCAGAACGAAACGAACTTATAGTCGCCTTCAAACAACTTCTGCGGCATCTGCGCCTCTAATTCGAGAGGGCTGGTTATTGTTGTCGGAAGCTCAGTACCAATATATGGTCGAATGGAGTGTCTACTTACTGTCAGTATCGGTTCCATCGTTGCGAATATCCCTAATGGAGCTTTCTGTCATTCCTAATGATCTTCCCATGTTGACAATTTCTGCCTTTTCCGTAGCTTCCACCACCTTCTCACAATTTTTGGAGCCTTTCAGTCTGAATCCTATACGTCTAACTGCTCTGAATGCATCCCAATCATTTAGATCCTTGACTTTGTCGTAACCCGTCCAGCTCTTGGGCGAACCTGGACCGCATGAATCTTGTAAAGTAAACACCGACATAGTGGTAGGAAGCTTTCCGGAAGTTGGTATTCTCGGGATCGTACACAAGACGCTGCTCACCATCTTTACGGGTAAGAGACTGTGATCAAGGAGATGCAAAATTACCGGACATTTTTCGCACAGACCTTTCCACGGAAATCTAACCCAATTATTGTTCATAGCTGGTTGGTAAGCCAGAGGCTTCATAGGATCTTCATCTTTTGCTAAGAGGATGATATGCGTGCACGCCGCTCTGTCTCGACCATCGTTTCTAGTAATGCGAACCATTAGTATGTGATTGGTGGAGATCGAGCTACAGAATTGAAGTCGCACATATACACTGCCATCTAGTTGATAGACACTTATCACTGGAGTCATCGGAACCATAGAAAAAGACTTAGTGGGAGCATCGTTTTCGAAAATTTGGGCGTCATTTGATACTGCAAGTACACGCTCAATCTTTAGGGAGCAGTTCCAGGCTTGTTCGAGCAGTGACTCAGAAAATGCTTCGTCGTTCCCGAGGTACAACAGCTGAACGGCTTTGGCAACTTGTTGATTCAAATGTATAAACAAACCAAGAACATCTTTACCGGCTGGTGGAGCCATCGTGGCCACTTGTAGGTGAAGACTTTTTCTTTGCCTTGACCTGACGCAAGGTTTCTGTTCGTTTTTGAAATGAGGATGGTTGACGATTTCGATTGAAGTTTGCATGTAATGATTAAATAATGCGAGAATCAAGAAATGAGGTGCAGTATGGAGTGAATTTTTCAAGTTGCGAGTACCTTCGGCAAGGCTACTATTTGCAGTGAATTTTACTCTCGCCTTCTTACGACGAGAGCTCTAGATTACACAGATGACGCCGAGAGTGACACACGTAGTCGTTGAACCTTCTGACAGCACGATGAAGAAGTATACTTGAGATTACTAAACAAGTTCCACCAAGCACCATCCACTATTGGGTTTATGGGCTGATATGACACTGCACAAACTGATTTGACGATATCTTTTGCAAAATTAGTCATAATACCCAGAGAAATATTTCAACTATTAATTGAGAATCAAAGGGTGGAAAGGACGAGTTTAAGTGTCAAGCGATCAAATAATCAATTTAGGCCAATTTTCAAGGTAAAGAAGTGCAAGTGGTACTATAGAAATCTTGGGACCAGTAGCAGTGATAGATACAGAATAACCGTCCCTTCTCGCTACTTGTTTATCATATCAGCAGTACATTACATATTGTAGCCGTTAGGAGATATCGACTACCAATGGATGAAAGTTCAACCACAGTAACAATCTTGTTGAACGGTCCCTACACCAGGATTGGCTAATCGAGCCAGAAGTCCACAACGAAACTGGGCTCTTCAGCTGCCAATTATCCTAAATGAACACCGAACGAACCACAGCTCATTCTCCAAACTTTCTCTTCTTATCCAAATGCTTGAAGTGTGGGAACTTGTTTGCCATGCCGGCCAATTTATTCTCTGGATCTTTCTTGGATAAAACAGTGATTTCTTGGCCCTCGTCAGCTTCTGACTCAACTGGGTCGTCGAAAACGATGAAGTCGCTGCCCTCCTGAGCCACTTTCTTGACAGACACATCTTTGGAGGCCATCTTACGGCTCACTGTCCCAGATATGTTGACAGGGAGGGGGCTCTAGAGAAATATCTTTACATACTGTCTTCCACGACTTTCTCTTCAATGGATTCCTCCGACATCCCTAGAAATCTTGCCATAGCAATCATTTCTTCCCTCTCTGTAAAACTCATCTCTTCATTAACACCTTCCAACTGCTTCAAGCTCAATCCCAGGCTCCTAAGCATCTTGAAAGCTTTGTATGCAGTAAAGAATTCGATGTCATCATAGCCACTCTGCTTCTTAGCAAAGTCTGATTCCATGAAAAACATGAAATTGAATCCCACACCACGGTATGATAGTTTCGGCGTTGCGGTTGTATAGGTATTATACACCAGAGTTTCTGCTCCTTCCTTCATGCTGCGATAGTTCTCGTTAAGGAATTTCAAGATCACCGGAAAATTACCACAGAATAATTCCCATGGGAATTTTAGCCATCGACCTTTCATCTCAACTTGATCTTCAATTCGGGCTTTCCAAACTCCAAGTTGTAACGGATTACACTTCTTCCGTGTAGTTCACTAGTGAAAATACAAACTAATACATTCACTTTGATCGCACTCACGAGTTTCCGAGCCCTGATGCTTGGGTGACCCTTTGTTCATCCGCACCATTACAAACCATCATAAAAAGAACCGTACATCTATTACATATATACCAATTAGAAGTATTCAAAACAAATTCATAGTTGTAGTCTTTTCAATAACTAAGATATTATTCAATGGCAAAGGTTGACCAGGAATCAAACACCGAGGCCATGTACAACTTTGACGATAAATGGGACCCCAAAAGTATAGATTAGCACATGACCGTGAAGCCGCAATAGATCAAATGGATGACGTAGATACTAAGGTAGGGGTGGTACTATATGATTGTAGTTACCGCTCGTGTTTGTATGATCGGATGGCACAGTAATTTGGGGTGTTCAGTCCCATTCTGCTGAGAAGCCCCATCTACGGAGTTGTAGCGGCTTCGGCGAAAAAAGCACATTGTAAAAATAGAGCTACGTGTTGACGAACCAAATATAAACAAAAATACGAAAAATAAATCTCAGTCTACGGACTTTAAATCAGAAGTCCAATCCTTCTCCAACAGATTCTTTTGTCAATTTACCTTTGAACCTTAGTATTTTTCTCTCTTCATATTTTTTGATGATGACACAACTGCACAGTCCCATTTTTAAAGTCTGTACCTACTCCTAAACAATCTTTTTAGATACTAAATTATTATTTTGGTAGTGACAGCATCCCATATTGACGTCAAATTTTGTGACGCTTCAGAATCCGGTGAAGACAAGGCTAGCAAGTATTTTGTACTCAGAGTCAGGATCCACCTGAGAAAAAGATTCACTATGTTATATTTTACGGCCCATGCATGAAGTTCTTGAGGAAGAACTAGACGCATTACTCTCCCGGAAACTTTTTCAATATGCGGAGATGTATCTTTACTGCTACACAAAAGTTGCAGTTCCGTGGTTAGCTTCTTCGAATAGATTGGGTCTCTGGTGTATTGTGCAAAGATAATTCCACAAATAGCTTTCTTTCAGTAACTGGTCGTTGTGACCCAAGGATTTATAAGCAGAGACTCAACATCATATCGGTGTATCCTCCAATATGGCGAGACAAAGGCGCAATTCTTATTGGAGAGTAGAGCAATAGATATCGTACCACCGCCAAAACAGGGCGGTGGGATGTTGCTGTAGAGAAGCGCAAGCTACACGGAACAAAACTCGTGAAATTCATCACATTACTAACTTGCTTGTACGGTTGAAACATGACCCAAAGACGGCTTATTACATACCCAGCATCTCTTATCTGTTGTGTTGGTATCAGATTGCCGTATCATTCGTGATTATGATTCTTCGTCGTCGTCTACTCCACGTCTTAAAAGTGAGCCACACCCCGCTTTCAGGCTCAGGGATCAGCACAAAAATCATGGGGATAGCGTTCTTTAATTATTATCAAGATTCTTCTACTGGAAACTTTGACTTCATGAATCATGGGAATAGACCTCCATATTGGAATAGATCGTGGACAGGGCACAAAAGAATGGGACGATATCTCGCTTACCCTCGATACCTGAGGCATCAATATGCGAAGCGACGTGCTCGACAAGACCAGAACTTACCTAGGTACACTGAGCGAAGAGAACTAGAATATCTTGATAATCAAAGTCTTTTTGATTCTAGAACCTGTATTGAATCACTCACAATTATCATAATAAAGGATATGGTAGTATTATTCCACGCCTACGAAGTCTCTAATTGTCGAGACTGGGTTGCGATCGCAGGGTTTTCAATAGTTGAAACTGTAATCCAATAATAAAAATCCCCAAATTCTCGAATTAATTAGAGCATTCACATTATTTGAGATACTAATTTTTATCAGAATATTGAGCTATTTTCAGCTTTCTAATTACGTTTAGATCTAAAGCTCTGGTGGTAGATCACATTTGCCTGGCTCGGTTTTTATAACGCAACGAACCCTAGAAAAATTTGAGGGGGGCAAGAGGGATGAGGATCTTCAATTTGGTGTTGAGCACTCAGGAATACTCTCTGTTTAACTATCACTTGCATCAATTTCCGGATTCGCGGCTTGGGGCCCACAAACCTGTTCAAAAATGAATCGAAGTCTTAAAATGGGCACTTTACAACAGCTAGAGAATTTGAACATTATCCTCTTTGAGGACTTTGTTATCTGCGGTCAAGATCAATCGTATGCAGTAGGGTAGATTCATGTCAAGCATTGGAAATTGTATTGCTCTAGTTTTATGTGAAGATGATAGCCATATATTAGTGTTTTTTTATTCATAGCTGAGTTCAAACGTATCGAGGTGCTTGAAACTCTCAATTTTGATGTAAAGAATTGTCCCTGTAGGCCCCTAATTCTTTCTCGTCTTTTCAGTTTCATTGAAATCCTTCATTTCCCGCAATCAACACAATCTAGCCCAAGGGGATTGAGCTACGAGAGTATTTCCGCGTCCTGCTCTCTTTCGTTTCGGTCAATTCGTGTCGAACGCCGCCAAGACCATCGATAGTCTCGAACAAGAAAGACTTCAGATTTGCGTTGTGGAAACAATTTCTGAATGGAAAGACGGAAGCTCCTACAACCAATCAAGTTAGCTGAGTTTTGTTTTGCAGGGGAGGAGCCAGCACGGGGCAATTTATGGTGATCCGGTTTGGAGTTGAAGCCAGAACCAAGAATTTGCAACCGTAAAAGGTTTTATACATGGAAGAATTTTGGTTCATCGAGGAAGATTTTGGTTTGAGAATATGAAATGAAAAACTTACTACCTCCTAACTCTGCTTCTAGCATTGTTTCCAAGAATCCGCCGTGGGATACAATTGCAATCTCATATGGCACATAGTATGGGCCACGTGTAGAGGAGTCGCCGTCTCTGACATCATATATCAAGCCACGACGAGTCAACTCTTGTACGTTCCTAGCAATTTTGAAAAGTGATTCCTTGACCTTATCAGCCCGAGATATATCTCCGTATATCTCTCTGTTGACCTCCCAACCTGGCTTGATGAGGCCAAAGTCTATTTGTTGGCCAAATCTTTTTTGGAGTTTGGCCACTGGAGTGCCTGTGCAACAGGGGATAGAGCCCCATTCTAATACCGGTAGTTAGTTGAGTTTCTAAAACAATGAAAAATGTATATTTTCATACCACGAAGTTCATCCCATGCCTCAATTTTGGTGGCTGGCTTTTCCATCGAGAACTCCATCACATCTCTGAATGTGGTCAAGGCCGTTTGAATGGTGCGGATCATCGGGGAGCAATATATCTGCTTGATATTGCGGTTGGAGTTTAGGACAGTTCTGACTAGTTCGCACTGTCGTATGCCATCGAATGTGAGCTTTGGATCACGAAGCTGGCTACGTGTGCCGAGTTCTCCGATGTTGGAATATGCCTGTGAAGTAATTTTCAGACTTGATTCTGGGTCCTGCGATGTTATGGAACTTACTTGTCCATGTCTCATGAAATGGAATATCACGAGACGATCGGCGCGACCTTCTCTTGGAGGGCTTGTTTTTCTTTCCAAATCATCAGACAAAATGGTTGATAATCGTGGAGGCATGCATCCGACCAAGTCTCTGTCTATATGAGACGATTCAGTTGTAGTGTTTGAATTCATAACTTTTGCAGTAGAAATATAAACTTTGTGGATGAAATTTGCAATGTATGTAATGAAAAGAAAGGCAAGGAGATGAAATATGGTTCTCGACTTTGTTGATTTGATGAAATGTGTATAGAGGTTCTGAAGAAGATGCAAAGCTTGAAAACCCAAGAAAGAAGTTGAACTATTATGTTAGATACTCGTGTAAAGACAGTTTCCTTAAATAAACACAGAAGTTAATACAGCAGACTCTTAGCGTCGTTCGCTTATCAGGGTTTTCGTATTGATGGGCAATCATTGGATAGCTGCAGTATGATTCACACAAGATTCGAAGTGATTTAAATGAATGCACTGAAGTTCAGAGAAACATCTTGCAGAAAATTTGATTGAATGGCAGGAACATTGTTAATTCGTTATTTTTGGGACAATGAGCTTCTGGAGAAAACGTGAATGGCTCGTCGATACCTTCGAAAATTATCCGAAATCGTACAAGGCCAGAGAATTTTCGGAGCAAAGAATACGTACACTGGATAGAAGTGATTCCCTTAATATTTGGCTCAGATTTGGAAGCAATTCTATGAGTGCTTGCTACGTCCAGGTTGTTACTGACAGAAAGATAAATTATGGTACATATCCAGAAAATGATGTATAAGGGGCGAATTGAAGTCTCCCATGGCTGATAAGCAAGTCCTCATCCAGTGAGATGCAAAGCTCTATATATGACGAAACCAAAACATCTTAATTCAAATGGTACGGGATGGATTCTTATTAAATACAAAGGAGATAGTTGTTTATATGCCATTCTGTTTAGGCCAATCATGGCAGGCTCAAAGCAAACACTGTAACCTTACTCACACTCAATTTATACATTCAGAGGAGGGCAATGATGATTTCATGATGCACAAGTGGAATCTGGTGGCAGAGCAACAACAAATATAGGGATAATTCAGTTTGTACTCTCAGGAAATATTGACGTTTTATCCAATAGCTCTCTTTCACCAGCTACCTGAAGTGGTGAAGCATGGAGTACACAGCAGATCCAGTATTCAGTAGATTCATGGTGTTTGGTGTGGTAATTTGAGGTCGTTGGGTGATGAAATCATAACTTGGCTAGATAGACAAACAATATCACTGTTTTTGGATACTATTCTAAAGTTTGCGTCTTAGGGTTTGATCGTTAGTTAACAAATTCTCGTAAAATGCACATAATATCGCGACAGCTGGCATGGTTGGGTACAGAATTTGTTGATATCGTAGATTGAAATTGTTTCTATGTACGAGGAAGCAGGAACGGATGACTTTCTTGTAATCACACCGAGGAAAAGAACCATGGTTCAGGGAAGACCCCAATACCATGCTGCAGAATTGCCAAATAATAGGGAGTGAAGGTTCAACAAAGTTCACATGGTTATCTCCACTGCTTCACATCTCCTGAACTCAGAGAATCAAATCATAGTCTCCACCACCAATTTTTGCTACACTGAGGGAGAGACCGTTCAAAGCTGACATTAACGCTTGTTCATCCCTAGCTTGTCTTTCTCTGAGCCTTGCAGTACGTGCCTGGTACTCCTGTTGGTACATTGCCTCCCAATCTGCAGGGTTCAGTCCATGACCATAGACATCCACTTTCTCGTCCGCGTTTGATCTGGCAGTCTTATCAGCAGCAGCGAGCGCATTTGTGTCCCCGAGCTTGCGACGTTCCATCAGATATTCCATGTGGTCTACTTTTCCCTCTTTTGGCTTCCTGGTCCCACGCTTCTTGACCGCACCTTCTGAAGGCTTAGATTTAGCGTTAGCGCCGCCATTCTTCTTGTTCTTTCCTTTCTTCGGCTTCGTATTGGGCGCGTTTACAACGGTCTTGTTCATTTCCTTCCGTTTACGTTTCTTCTCAGCAAGATCCTCGTGTCTCACTCTAGAAGAATCGCTTTCCGGGAGGTGTCGCGAAATTCTCCGACCATTTGGTAATTTTGGTCCTATAAAGGCTTCGCCTTGACTTGAGATCTTCTTGCTTTTGTTGATAGCTTTGTCGGTAGCTGATTGGAGTGCTCGAATGGTGGGTTGTAACATGCGCGCCATTTCAGCTTGCTGATGAATTTGGCCAGTGTTGGTAGATGAGTGTTGTTTGCGTATCGTGCTGCGATTGTTCAAATTGTTTATGATTCCGCCAACAGGATGATCGAGGCCTGACATGTCAACATCATCATTCGTGTCGTTGTTTCCTGATTCGGCTGTTAGATAAATAAAAACAAATGTTTTTTACAAAGTACTATCTCACCTGGGGAGCCATTCGAAACTTTGAGAGTTTGCAAGTTGATCTTGAGAGAAGCAGTCTTAATTCTGTTGTTGTTTGGGTCGTGGTCGGCGTACTCTGCTTGTACCTGAACAGAGCTACCTTCCATGTTCTGAAATGGGAACATAGAAGACGGAAATTGTTTCACAAACATATCCATAATTATGTCGTAAGTGGTTGCATGAGATGGTGGATAAATCTTGGATGTGTATGATTGATAGGAAAGCAAGAAACAACTGGAAGGTCTGTTTACTCGTGATTTGTTTCCTGTGTAATGGCTCGCTTAAGCAAGCAGCGGCAGCAAAACTTCCGCTGCTATTCACTTTCCACGTTTTAGATACTGAGAACTGCGTGGTGAATCATGAAGACCAAGCTGCAAACCTGATAATCTCTTTTTATAAGTGTCGTCCTCTCTTGTCGCTCAGTGTTTGTTGATGATTTTCCACTTGGGGGATCACTGCAAGCCGCTCTAAGTTCCTCGGCAGTCACCGATGAACAAATCTCCTCTTTGATCCAGTTGATCTAGAAAGTTTACACCGCCTTTTTGATTCTCGTATGCCATTTGTCCAAAGATGAAAGATGGAAAGCCATTTCACTTTCCTCACATGATCGCCTACAGTCTGTGGCAATTCTTTTGCTTGATGAACTTCATAACACTTCGCCTTGTCAAGGAAGAAGAGCGGTCAATGTATCTATGTCAATACATATAATTTGAACATACTCCAAGGTTACACAATCCAGAGCAATTCTCGGCAGCGCGTAGTAGTGAACTGTGCTAGGGATTTCCCAAAACTTGTCGGAAAAGGTTCAATCACCGTCAATAGAGGGCTTTCATGTGAACGATAGGATTGTTTGAATATTCATTCTATACTGTTAGGGGGTCAGAACTGAAAGCAGGACTAGCTAGTATAAATGAGGAATCATTTGATGTTGATTCGGTGAGGAATTCGATGAAGTGAGGTTAAACTATGATGCTGATACTTTAGCGCCAATCTTGTCTAATTTTTGGGTTTACCACACGATAAGCCTGTAAAAATATGCATCATAGGGTTAAGGTAACACTCGATTGAGGTACTAATATAGATAGTGAGAATGATAAGTTGAATTCTCAATGAGATTCAACATTCTAAATGGCTTCAATGATCCAATTGGTTAAAGTATTTTATAATCCTTATTGTTGAACTGCAGTCAAGACTATTGGACATCCTGAATACGATAGGAGGTTAGCGTGAAATATTTGTGGGGAATGCATGGACCACAGTATGCTATTTCACAGGGTAGGGAAGTCAGCCTTCTCAGGAGTGACCTACGTACGCTCGAAACGCTTATAGTGTACCAGAAGTAATCCATATCGCTTCCTTGAAGCGGAATTAGGTGGAGTTAAGGGAGTCGCTTCGTGGAGATATACTGTAAGTCCGGTGCTGGCTGTGAGATATCATTCGGTTGCCTCAGCTTTGTTTGACCTGATTGCATCTAAATTCGCATATGTATATATACATCCAGTGGATAGTCCGTCTTTGTTTGTATACATCAGATTGCTACTTCTTCCCACCTAAACATCTCTCCATCAAATTACAAAATCCCTTGAACAATCATGCGCAAAAGTCAACGCATCTTCATGACCGGGGCCACTGGCTATATTGGTTCCGTCATCACCGAGCTCGCCATTGCAGAAGGCTACGAAGTCCATGGACTTTCTCGATCTCAATCTGGAGACTCCAAGCTACTTGAAGCCGGGGCAGTTCCAGTTCGAGGTGATCTTACCAGCCTCGATGTTCTTCGTCGTGAGAGTTCTGAAGCGGATATTGTTCTTCATCTCGCGACAGCTTATCATATCACAAATGCCAGCGCAGGCTATGATGCTGTTTGGCCAATTGATAAGGCGGCAGTTGAAGCTATCGCAGATGGGTTGGAGGGTTCCAATAAACCACTTGTCGTGACAGGTGGTACACTGTTTGTCTCGCCAGATCCAGATGGTCGCGAGACTACGGAGACCTCTCCGGAAGATCCAGAACCTCTCAATACTCGTCAGCAAGCTGAAGCTCATGCTCTCGAGCTGGCAATGAGGGGAATCAGGGTTGTCGCCATACGCTTGGCACCATGGGTTTTCGGAAGAGGTGGAAGTGGAGTCAAAATATTCATGGATATCTCCAAGCAGGCTGGAGAAGTGACGTTTGTAGATGGAGGCAAGAATTGCACGACCACTGTTCACGTTGATGATGCTGCGAGACTTTATTTACTGGCTGCTCAAAATGCAAAATCGGGAGAAGTTTTCAATGCTAGCTCGGCTACTAATGTTACCTTCCTGGAAATGTGGGAAACTATGGCCAAGGCATTAAATGTGCCATTGAAGCATCTCTCTACAGAGGAAGCCATCGCAAAGCTAGGTCCGTTTTTGACAAAGTTCATCTCGGTAGAGAATAGGGCAACGGGAGCGAAAGCTAGAGATGTGTTGGGGTGGGAACCCACCGGGCTTAGTATATTGGAGGAGATCCAATTGACCGCTTCTTGAGGCCAGGATATTCGTTGAATTTCCTAGATATATTACGATGTAGCGAGTTTGTTAAGTTATACCTATCGATAAATCATTTTGCTTGAGGTCTAGGGCCATACATAAGTTCAAGGGCAGTGAGTGATAAAAGTCCATTTGGAATGATTCATGGTGAAATTAAGCTCCAGTCTCTCGACAGTAAATTGAGAACATAACATTCGCCATGTTCAAGAAAACCTAAGCGACGTAGCGTAAGCTAGCCTTCAAAACTCTTACTGAGCAGCTCTTGCAAATATAAAGGTTTGATCAACCTGTTTCCACAATTTTTTATCAATCTGATTCAGCTTTCATCGCATCTGCTTGCGAACTGCTTGATTCCATACAAAAACACTTGATTATACATAACGCGTTCAGACATTGACGCAGTTGCTGCTATCCGAGGCAAACGTCAAACATCAATGCTCTCGAGATGCCGGTCATTCAATTCCAACAAATCTATAATATTGACATTAAGTATAAGAGTTCCCTCATTCTCCTCTAGTTATGCATTTATTTCATATCACTAGCTAACCTTGGATTGTCGTCCCATTTCTACTTCCATAGGAATTCAGGGCAGATTTCCCATCCAGTCTGTTCATTTCAAAACTAGTCGGCCAAATTTAATATTCTGTGTACATTTTATAGCATTCGTGATCTGAGTTTATACTACAACACCAGGGCTACTCCATCTTCCAGATTTGAAACGCATTCGAAGTTTGTTGATCCTAACATTCGAAGAAAACTTTGGAAGGTTTGAAGTTGAGAACATATATACTCTCTTGACTGCACCCAAGGGTCTTTAAAATTTCCAGTTTTAAAAAGCACCTGGTACTAGTCCAGAGCAAAGTTATCATATTCTCATTTCTTCCACTGACTAATCTCTCGATCCTTGTGCCTTTCGCAAACACTTTCCTATTGAATTTCATTTGCCTGAGCCAAGCAGCTGTGTCAACTTTCAGAATTTGGTTTTCAAACTCGACACCATTCGTGGCTCCGCTAATCGGAACATAACATGCACATGATGCATAGCAATTTATGCCCGCTTTCCGAGAGAATTCCCTTGCTTATGAATTTGCTTTTGTCTTATAATTCACTACCGAGGATTCAAGTACCTAGCTATGATAAGTACCTAGGTATCACTAATGACCAAAAGTGGCTAGAACCCAGCTATCCCCATGTTTCAGGCAAGATCATTATACTGTAGGAGGTCACTGCATGTTTTTATCTTTAGCCTTGCACCTAGATTCCCCAGGCCTAGCATTTTCTGGCACCATAATTTGATTACCTCCACCAGTAGGTGTACGGACTCACGGGACAATACAAAAATAAACTTGTGAATATCTTTTGATATATCGAATCATTTATTATAGGAATTATTGTGATTCTTGAATAGAGATAAAACAATCAAAACACAAATTCTGATATCAAACAATTGAAGAATAAGTTTATGAAAAATATTGAAAATTGAAACGTGTTCTGTTAATCCACACACCCACTGGTGCTCGGCTGGAATTAGGAGTTTCCATCTCTCCATACATGTAGCTGCTGAAGCATTATGAAAGCTCCTACACTAGATGAAGATAAGGAAGGTAAGAACATCGAGCTAATTTTTGCCAAACCAATTAGATATGCCAATCAAGGCTACCTAGATGGTTCTCAAGACTTCCAAGGTTTATTCACCAGCATCTATCACATGGACCGAGAGTTCCCGAGGTCATTTAGCAGATGATCTGGTATGAATTAGCTTAGACATCGGAGGTAGAGCTCCGATTTATCTGTTTCCAGTGAATCTAAAAAGGTAACAAGAGCTGCATATGCTTTGATATTTTCACCACCATTCACAAGAAATGATTAGGTAGAGATAAGAGAACTACATTAAACTGTGGAAAATCTCAGATGTCGAATGTCTGCACATATGCAAAGGACCAAGAACAATAGCACTGATCTCTGATATTATAGTTCCTACAGCAAAGAAGAGTTTCAAGGTATTCTCAATAGAATTACAGGAAGTTTCTCACTAAAGGCTAACCAAATACACATGTTCTAGCTTTATCAAAGGTTAGACGAGAGCACTCTCTTACCTAAGATACACTTCAAAGCTCATTCAGCGGTGTTCTGGTGTGGGAACAAGAAAAATACATTAGACAGATATTCCCTATATATATGATTGACAAACTTCCCTAACCTTGACTAACTAACTTTTTCACCTAATGTCTTCAGTCCTACATGAAATCTTCAGCTCTTCAATGGCCTTCAAATTCATAAAAGACTCTCACTGTAGAATCGTTAAGCTTATATCTACTTGTCAATTTCTCACCTTCGAAGATTAAAGCAAGTAAACTTATTCAGCTAACAACCACTGATCAACCAACTTTTCAATGTGGCGTCCACTAGATAGCTCGGAAGATAACCGAACCCACAAACAAGATTACTGCTAGCGTGGTGAGGGCTATTGACGGTCCTCGGTTCTTCATAATACCCAAGTCCTCCTCGAGCTTGACACTTTTAATTCTTTACAATAACACCAACCTTGAGCAAATAATCCCATCACAGAATCTCTGTACCATCATAGGATCTCCTTTATATTTTTCCTTCATACTTCTCCTGTCATTCATAAAATCTCCTCACTCGATCATATATCTTTCGTGCATCCAGACGACTTGATTACTTGAAAATGTCGACCAACGGAGATGAAAACAACCAGCTTGAAGCGGCAAGCCTTCTTGGATCAAATTTTATCGACGATCAAGAGGTCAAAATTAAGGAAGAGCCCTTGGAGGAAGAGACTGGAGTTGATCCATCCATTCCCCTTTATGAATCGGCCCTTCGTCTGGATCTTGAGAGCCAAGCTTCGCGGTACCGTTCCAATTCGCCAGCTCTGTCCATTCGACTCAGAAGACCTGAAAGACCTGCGTCCGAAATGCATGCATTCACGGCAGCTGGTGTAGACGCTTTGACTGATAACCGGCTTCTACAAGGGCGGCTCAACAGGCTGTTGTATACACCGCATTCAGAAGATGAGTTCCCTGATGATGAGTTATCTCATACTTCAGAATCTCAATTGAATGGGCGCGTTCACAACCCTGGCTATAGCCAGCCCGATGCTCCTTATTCAGAAACTCACTATCAGCAACTTGAGTCTTACCCACCTCAAATGTCTGGGTATCCTCAAAATCCATTTTCGCCAGAGTATCCTCATCAGTTGGATGGTTCGCTTGATCCGCAGTTTCCACAAACACCTTTCGTTGATGATCTAGATGATATAATAGAAGTTGACTCGACTATGTTCAACTCTACGGTTCCTTCCGAAGACTTCTCCGCTAGTCCGACGCCAACTCTTCAACAAGAAGTTTTATTCGAGAACCGAGCACCCTCTACACCACGTGCAAGTCGTCAAACAATACGAGAGTCGGCAAAGTCTAGGGCCAATAGAAATAGTGTTGGGGGTCAAAGAAATCGTGCCAGGCGTGCAGAAGATTTTGCTCCTCCCCCTGGTGCGATGACTGCTGCCGACGTTATGACTGTACACGAGAACAACGTCCGTCGTAGAAATAAGCGGTACAAGAGGGCCGGCATCAAACAACGACCTCTCGACGACATCGAACAGGATGTTGTCAACACACTTAACGAACTCGGTGTCCCGATCGATGCTAACGACATGTATCTCCAGGAGGTATATTCGCATAGAGATACGACGCTCGATGGAAGTCTGAACGAATCCGCAGACAGCACGATCGATACTATGGATACTGATGAGACAGTAGTCCCACCTCCTTCTGGTCTTCCCGAGGAACCTGATTTTCCAACAAGTGCTCGTTGGCGAGAGCGTGGCCCTGACGGTCAAGCAAGAGCGAGATGGGCATCTGCCCGATGGAGGGCAAAGAAAAAGGTTCAGGCAACGGAAGCCTGGAGAAATGCAACAAAAGAGGAAAGAAGAGCGATGGAAACCAAAGTAAAAGATGCTCTTGTGTTCATGTAAAGTTTTTAATTCAATCTTGACTCATATATCAATACTAATCGAACTATAGTGCAGACCCCATTCCGGTCGGACCTGTACCACTAAAATCTCTTGCACCATGGTTGCGATCAGAAAGAGCCATTCTTTTACAAGAAGTGACCGACAACAATAAAAGAATCCAGCTTTTGAGCAAGAGATTAGATACAGTGGCTGATGCCTACAACCGGCGTATTCAATACAAAACACAGAAAGCGGGAGAGCTTTGTGTTGCTCCTGGTAACGGTGAATCTCGAAAGAATTCACGGTTAACAAAAGACCGCACTCCACCACACAGGACAGCAGAGACGATCCTGTCAAATTTGAAAAAGTGGTCGGAGTTGGGGGATATTTGTCTCTGCCGACAACATCAGCGGTATCTTGTTGGGGATTTTGAACGAAGTGGAGATTTCCCCCATGGCCACGGGGTTAAGGAATGCATACCCAAGGACCGCAAGGATGATGACTGCGACTGTCATGATCATCTTCGAGATTTCAATGGGGAGTTCCCGCCAGGACATACGAAGACTCGTTGTAGTCATCTCCTCATTGGATCCAACAAGTGATTGAATCCACTTTTCAAGGACATGTAAGAAGCCTTGTTGCTACTTGTGTGTCAAGGACTTGGCCAACTTGTTCGGTTTTTGTTTGTTCGGTATTTCGGCTTAAAATTTGGGGTGATCAGTTTTTATTGACACTCACTTTTACTTGGTGCATGGACGGATAACAAGGAGATGTGGTAGAGATACACTGGATCGTGGTCTCGACTGTAATGAGTAATAACCTTGATGTTTTTTTCAATTTTTTGAAATGTTCTTGAAAGAACCTGGTGTACATATCAATGATAATAACTCGAACTCCTTGTTCTGTTAGTTTGAGGCGGCAGTTTGCTTCTTGGAGGGGGTTCCACGTAATACCAGTCTACGAAACACGATGATTTTATCAATAAACGTGCACCTTGGAATCTGTGACCTTTGCGTGAAATATACTCCGGCTGCGTGTAGCAGCTGTCTGGTAAGATTGTGGCGTATCCACCACAGAGAACAGAATCTCTGCTCTTGGAGCTCCTTTCTCTTAGCTGTTAAAGATATGTTTGCCACGAACGATTTCATGCGCAGGAAAGCTGGTTTTAAAGAAGCTTTGAGTGGTTCCTAGTGATCATGTTGTGAAGTCACAATGAAGTGAGGTTAGAATTTAGCGCCATAAAACGGAGCTCTGATAAAGTTAGCCGCGTGAATGCCGAAGTCTGGGTCCAAGGACACAGGCCTGAGTTTCAAACGCGGACAACAATAGGGAATTAAAAGAATGATATCAACTCTTGACGAAATCAAATATCATTTCACAATAGTTATAGAAGGTTCAAAATGCTGGATCCATTGTATTGTTCAAAGATTTCGAGTGTACATGTTTGAAAGCGACTGCCACGAGATCATCAGGTCCTTTCGAAATCATTCGGAGCGTGCTTCTCTCGAGGCTAGTAGTTTCTTTTGCTGCTTTCTCTTCATTCAATTTTTCAGAAGCTAAGGCTTAGTGTCGAGATAGAGAATTAATGGATGACGACAATGGAAGTTGAGAAACTGACTTCAGAGAACTGCTCATTGGCATCGTTGCCCAGGTGCTTCGCATTCCCATAATTTGATCTCATCACAAAACTTTCTCAGCCATTTTCTTCTTTCCCAATCTTTCTCTGGACTAATTTCTTTCTTTCCCAGGTATCCTCATTTAGAAGCGTGCCCTAGTAAATGCGGTATTAAATGGTTGGGTTTTCTTATACAAGAACAACTGACAAAGACTCTTTATTGGATTAGTGGTACCAGCTAGTAAGTTACACCAAATTCCAGCCCCCACAAGTTCGTACACAAGAAGTATATAAGACTCCTCACAGTCTTGTCGTCTGATATATCATACTCAGCAAAGCAAGACTTCATCTTCCCATGATGTGCAGACGTAGAAGGTCAGGACTTATTCTCCCGTTCTAGATCTCTTCTTGGTCACTGAGTAAGTACTTGCTTGAATTTTCTTGCAAACGACGGAAATTTTGTGAAAGAAGATAGGGATAGTCACTGTTGTTGTCAGCAAAAAACTAACACCAAATTCCTCTCAATACTCACTATAATTCTATCGGCTTTGCTGTCAAATTCAAGGCACGAACAAAATACTCTATAACTCTCGCTCAATCGTTGTGATATTTCCACAACAAGAGTTGTCGGGAACGATTCGAATAGGAGTCAAAAAGCTATGAGTGGGCATATAGGGTCTCATATCTTTCGAAGTACAAATTACGGCAGCCTGGGTGGGGTAGATTGGAGCGATATCGAAAATGATGGTTTTACGGAGAAGTTTTCACATCTATTATATAGAGCAATGATCTGGAGGCTCTAGATCAGATGGCCTGGAAAGGTCTCATGGCCTTAGCCGCTGGGTTTCTCAGTCTCTTAATCTCCAGCCCCATCACCCCCCTTCTCATTACCTTTTTTCACTCAATAACGTGTATATATATCCCCAGGAAATTCGGTTCAGGTCAAATACTTTGTGTGAAAAACAAGAACTATTCAAAAGCGAGATTATCAGTTCTTTATACTTCTGATTCCTACTCGAATACTGATTTAAGAAATTCAGATTTGAGCTTGAGTATAGCTTCAAAGACTCTGTCATACTTTTTTGCCGGCAAGCTTATTGCTGTCAACTTTGTGCCAACTGTCTGTCGAAAATATACCACAATCATTGCCGTTTTTCTGGTCATAGTCATCTACTCTTTTCCTTTCACCCCCTTTCACCTCTCCTCCACTCGTCCCCGATTCCACTAGTTCTTCCACTACAGAATAACAAAGAATCAGAAAAATCTCGGAGCATACAAACGCTCCAGTAATTCCAGGACATTTATCCTATCGACCTTTGTATTTAGTAAAGATTTTGCTAAAGTAAAGCCACCGTACCAAAGTGTTTTATATAGCAATCTACATGATTCCTTTCCAGAAAGCTCCCTTCAGATCAATAATAATCAGGGCACGTAACAAATTTCACCCGTTCAAACAACAATAAGTCACTTCCAAAAAGGTTGGAGGGGTCTAAAATATCCAAAAGCCTCCTCGTCCCAGCGATTCTCCAAGCGAATCCAAAAAGCCAAATCTGAAAGATTTTTGAAGTGAGAAAACAAGGCGGTAGAAATACACTATTCAATACTCGCATGTTAATTTTTCACGCGTATTAAAGCCAGTGAGCTTGTATGTTGTCAAACTGCGTTATTGTCGTACATTAAGTTTACACTCTCAATGACAAGAATAATATTCTTGAAAAATCAACAGCACGACTGGCACATGGAGCTGAATATACATATTGCATGCAGAAACGACGACGATTATGTGCTAGAGAAGTAGGAAGGAAGAGTCTAGAATATGCTAGGAGTGAAGAATCGAATACCATATCGATGAAAATCCAACGAACACGGGAACCCGACTCTGATGTGGTAGTCATTATGCTATAGAGATAAGAAGGAAAATTACTCTTGGGTGCGGGATTTTATATAGACTCACGCATATGCAGATACTCTAGACAACAATATCACAGCTCATGAAACGATGCTGCATCTAGGGAACTATACACATCCTTCCTCCCCCCTCTCCCATTCTTTCCTTGTTTCTTTCTTCAGCCAGCAGATAATCCACCAACAATCATCCAAATAAAACCCAAGACTCTAGAAATCTTCTATGAAAACAGAAATACATCTTTCCTCAAATCACATTATCCTCAGATTAATCTTTTCCTCCAGATTTGGCAAAACGATCTACCTACATCCAAAAAAATTATATCAATCCATCCCCTATCAAGAACCTACAAAATATACTCAATTTCCTCATTTACAGAAGACTCAAAAGACACAAGGGGACCGCATCCAATACTTTGGATAGATTCACCTTTTATATTTATCTTTTTCTAAATGGCTCTCTGCCATTGAGGGGATTCTATTCTTTAGTGTATATTACCATTCTTCTTTCTGTTCTCATTACTGCATACGTACTTCTAATACCTACCCATCTCTTACATCAACTCCCAAACCCAAGCCCAAATCCACGCCATACACCAACAAAATAAAACAGAGCACCACAAAACACAATCCCAAATACACCATAAACTTTCCCCCACCCTCACAACTCAAGCCCAGCACACCACAAACCCCTCCAAAAACACGTTTCAGACGTAGATAATCCCCCTTTCCAATCCTCCAATCCTCCATTTCCATCTCCATCCCCATCCCCATCTCCATCTTCAATCAAAACACCAGTGTTGAAATTCCCTCGCTCAAGCTCCCTATACATACCCTTTCCTTCCCATCACTATCACCATCACCATTACATTCCATTTCACTCCTCCATCTCATCTCCTCCAAATCCTGCAAACACAGTCACTATTCTCCCGACCTATCCCCAGCCAGCTAGTCTCTCATTTTCTGCATCCTAATTCTGAATTCCCCACCCCTCTACCCTTTTACTTTTGCGCACCTTGAGGAGCTGTGGCTCGAGAAGAATTTCGCCCGGGTAGATCGTAATTGTATCGGATGTATGATGATGTGCGTTACTTGGTAATTTTATATATAAGATTTCATATGTAAGACTTCATATGTAAGATCTTACAGATATACAAATATATAAAGATCCACTAAAAATACCTACATAGAGAATATAAAACTCATACTCATACACATATTCGCACACCTAGAATGTAATCTTATGTGAACATTGAACTTCACAGGAATCAGGTATTTGCTTATATATGGATATCATATATGAACATCAAGAGTCTGTATGGGTATCTGGTGAGGTGGAATAGATGATGAAGTAGATGTCTTTGGGATGAGTACGATATCTGGGATATTTCAAAGTACTAGATGATATATAGGAAGGGATATGTAGAGAGATATGCTGTATGTGCTGTGTGGAATGTTGGAAAATGATACATGGGGATTTGGAAGAGAATGAAGAGGAAAGAAAGAAAGGAAGAAAGGAAGAAAGAAAGAAAGAAAGAAAGAAAGAGATGGAGGGGTTGAGGGGTTGAGATCTGATATGATGAAGAGGTTAAAGATGAATGTATCTAAACTCTACAAATACAATTTGAGAAGTATCTAGAAAACCCCGCGTTTATTCAACTATCAAATCAGTAAACCGAAATGGTTTCTACAAGAAAGAAGGGAGAGGAGTTGATAGGTTTGATAAGAAAGGGGGTTGATAGATTTGGTAGGGAGCAAGAAGATGAGGGAGAGGAATGAGAGATGAAGAGATCGTATGAGGATACTTAGAAAAGAAAGGGAGGGAGGGATAGCAAAGATGAGGGATGGTGTGAGAGCTATCGGACTGTAGGGCTATAGGACAGTAGGAATATGGGGTAAGTTGAGTTGCGAGAAGATGAGATGAGATGAGATGAGATGGGGTATGGTATGGTATGAGGAAATGCTATTTTAAAATAGGAGAGGGGGAAGTTTGGTAGATATGAAGTTTGGTAGATATGAGCAAAATCTTGAAGACTTGCAATTCACACGAGTAATGAGAAACTAGACATCTATCTATTCATCACTATATCCATCTTGCATAATAGCCTTATCTGAATTTGTAACACTCTCTTTCCAGAATTATAAGTCGAGGGGAATGAAAAATATACATATGTATATTCAGCTATAACGTGGTTTATTATCGAGTAGCCTATATCATCAAATGGCTCACTTTCACCTCAATTTATACTTTCAAATCTATATTATTTAATAACAATTGAATCAATTAATTAAAACTATTAATAATCTAATAATCTAGAATCTATTATATTATTTTGATAGATTCTTATATTATATTCTATCTTTTTATATTTATTATAATATTAATTAGAAAATGCTTTCTTATTAGAATTTCCTCTTTTTTGATATTTATTATATTAAATCTAAATATCAATTTTTTATTAAAATAATATATCAAAAGCCTTTTATTTAGTGAATACTCTTTCTTAATATAATTAGGTTTTTTTATATATCAATATTTATTTAATACTTTATTTACTATTCGAAATATATAAATCTCTATATTTAAAAGTATATTTTTATAAGCTAACCTTTTTATATTTTTAATTAAAATTAATATAATCTTAAATATAGATATAAAGAAATTTATTTGATAATAAATTATTCGAGATTTAATTAATATTAATTGAAAAAAAGCTTTAATTAGATTATAAGGGATTTGAGAGATTTATTGATTTAAATTGAAAAAGGGAAGGATAGATATACAAATTCGAATATCTAATTTTGAGAATATAACTTTAGAATTAAATGAGATTAAATTTATTTCTTGAAATCCTAATTTCATATTTTGAAAAATAATTGATTTTTTATATATAATTTTAAAAATTATAAAGAATTCAATCTTCAAAATATAATTAATATATACCTTAATAAATTTATTAATTTGATTATTATATAAACATTTTAGATTATTAAAATAACTAATATCAAATAATTAAATTAAATGATTTAAATATAATAATAAATATAAATATATAATATTATTCTTTTTACAATATATTTGAAAAGCTATTGATTTATAATTTTTATACTTATTTAATATTAATATTTGATATTTACTCTTTTTTCGATTTTTAATATATTTATCAAAATATTTTAATTATTCTAAACTTATTTTATTATTTATTTATTTATTAAATATAGATTTAATAATTTATTTTATAAAAAAATTTGTTTTAATATATTAATTAAAGAAATAAATTTATTCTTGAATTATTAAAAATAAAGGAATAGTTTTATTCTTTTTATTTCTATATATTATTATTATAGTTCATTTTTGATTATCTAATTATATTATTTTATTTTTATTATTTCATTTAGTATTAGTTATTATTATTATTATATATATAATTTCTATTATAAAATTTATTTCATCAAAATTATAGAAATTTTTATTTAAAATATTATATTTCGCTTATATATTTATAATTAATCGAAATTATTTTTTAAAAAGTTTAAAATTCTTACAAAAAGTTTTTTGAAAATTATAAATACAATTAAAATACATTTTTAATTTGATTTGATATTTTATAAATCGATATACCCAAAGCTTTCTAATATATTTTACACCTTTCGATTTAAGAATATTATTTATTATATTTTTTATATTCTTTAATTTAAATAAAAATCCTTTTAAATCTATATTGAATATATATTAAATAATCATTTTTTCTTTTAATTCTATAATCTTATAACAATTTATTTGAGTTTTTATACAAAAAAATAAACCTTTTATTTTATATCAAAAAGTTATATAAGAAATATTATAGAATATAATAGTTTTTCGAATACTTAATTTTTTATTTTTATAAATAGTTTCAATAATAAGAAATATACAAGCTTTTTGATTATTCGAATTCATTATAGATTATTAATAAAACATATATTGAAAGAAATAAATATAAATTGAAATAAAAATGAGCTATTTGATGATATAGGCCATTCGATAATAAACCATGTTATCAGAAACGGAGGTATTATCATATATACGGATATCTATAAATCAGATAAACAGTAAACATTTATCAATATCTAATGACACATTTCTCATTATGAAACTATAAATAAATAGGTCCATTCAAATAACTATCTATTTTTCTACATTTGATATCATTTTATCTTATCTCAACTACAAAATCAGAACTATTATAAAAGACCTCCTGAACTGAACTGAATCAAACCAGACCAAACTACTCTTCACTATACATATATATCTCATGAGAAACAGAAATCAATTTGCAATGAAAAGAGATGCCTAGTATCTACGAGCATACATAACGTGATGGATCGATGTACTGAAAACACAATATAAATGGAGATTCCCACTCGAGCAAATAATATATACTGTAACAATCGATATATACCTACCTAGTAGTATCAAAACGAGAACTCAAAATCTTTACTCGAGATTTGGAATTCCATCTTGTGTTTATATTTATATTAACAGAGATGGGTAGTAGATACTTTGTAGATAAGTATAGTACCTATCGTAGATATGGTAATCACATAAATCGGTGAGGAATATTTGATACCGTCTGGCTGTGTAGTACCGATATCGTCGATGCAGACCTCGGCAGAGAAAATTAAGCTTACCCCACACACCGGCCATGGAGTTGTTGGCGAATGAATGGGTGGGCTATTAGATTAGATGATTTAGATTAGAGTATAGTACTTCGTAGAGAAGAGAAGAAAAAATGGATTAAGGGAAAGGTTGAATTAGATTAATGAAATGTACTTTGTAAATGTGTACGGGATAAGAAAGGAAGAAAGGAAGAAAGAAAGAAAGGAAGATGATGAAAGTTTAAATATATGGCATGCATCTACATAGTTACCTATTATTACAACTGGTTAATCGGTGTAAGATAGAGAGAGGTTGGACATTCTTTCCAATCATGTACTTCGTAGTGAGTGATGCGATGATAAAAATGTTGCGGTGAAGCAGAAACATTTCGGAGGATAACAACAACAAACTCACGCGGTGGATGTTCTAGGTCTGCGTGGATTTTCTAGGACCTAGATACGATACGCAAGAGATGGGGATGGAGCCGTGCGCTGGGAACTAGAGATGCAGAGAGTTTGAGGGTAGGTGGAATGGAATGGAATGGAATGGGAAGGAGAAAGGGGATGGTGGATGTGGATTGGGATTGGGATTGGGATTGGGATTGGGATGCGGATTGGGATTTGGAGTTGGAATGGTTGTGGGTTGGGGGATGGAGAGATGGGGATGGGGATGGGGATGGGGATGGGGATTGATGATGGATGATGGGGTGATGGGGTGTGAAGTGAATGTGAATGTGAATTTGTGAGGCTGGTAGAAGGGCACGTGAAGGGATGGGTGAAAGGGGGTAATTCGATACAATATCTGATATAATGTTCGATACAATGTTCGATACAATGTTAATAAATAACAAACAATACAAATGCAAGATATGAATACTATAATCTTGAGGGTTGCTGTTGTGTACGATATAATATAATGTAATCTACTGAATGCAATCTTCCGCACATTGATGAATAAGAGAAGACGATGATAAAGAAGGATGTCCACGGGTTTATGTTGTCCATTCGGAGTCCATCCCGTTTGATACTTGTTAGCAATATATAAAGTACACCGAGATGGATAGATAGATAGAACACTCGAGCACACACACACACACACACACTTGTCAAATAATGGAAGCAATCTAGAACATTGATGGAATGATTCATAAGGAGGTACCAAGTATCTGCTAATAAATACTAACCTGTGTATGGTGTATGGTACAGTACCCGTAGTAGTAAAAAAGACCGAGCATGCATCACGGAAGATTATTCATATTATGGCCGACGCTAAGGACTATCAGAAATATTGCTGGCGTATCTAGGTAGGCAGGTACTAGGTATATTTCTAACCTACCCAGATGCATGGTCAACACGTCGATAAAAAGATAGCAGATACTAGATTGTAGATACCAGAAACTAGATTGTAGATACATACCAGTCACTACACACAACATCCCAACACTTTATTTGTTGGCTGGTATGTGGCCTCTTTCAATTGTCCTTGATGAATACCTACCTCGTACATACATACCATATGCAATATGCAATATGCACTTACCATTACCAATGCCAGGCCAGTACTAGCATCCGAGTATCAATATCGGAGGATCTCTTGGTCATTCTCCAATCATGCCCCGATTTCATGCAATCATGAGCCTGGGATAATCTTCATATCGCACCAATGCCAGGCTGGGAATTATGCTCCATGCTCCATACCCCTCCACCGCCCCTCCACGCCAACTGGGAAAAGGTCTTTGGGGCCTCGTATCGTTAGTAGTGAACAAGTAGTAAGGTGAGTGAGTTATCGCTGGATGGATGAATGTGATGGTGCAGGAGTGCTGGAAGTAGATGGATACCATTAGTACCTACTTGTGTATATATTTATGTATACCCACTAGATACCTGGGTAGCTAATGCCACTCCCCTTCCTTGGAAATATACTCTAGGTATTGATCTAGGTAGGTAAATAGGTAAACTCTATTCTGCTCTAATAAGTAAAAAGGTAATAAAGAGCTAGCTAGCTAGTACTTTCCTCCTTGTTCCCTTTTTCATTCCATTCCATTCCCTTCCTCCCTTCCCCCCTTCCCCCTTCTCCCTTCTTTTCTTTAAACTTTCGCTTCAAAACTGTCCTGTCTTCCCGTCTCCCATCTCCCATCTCCCATCTCCCATCTCCCATCTCCCATCTCCCATCTCCCATCTCCCATCTCCCATCTCCCATCTTCCCGTCTTCCCGTCTTCAAATCGCAAAATAGTATCAATATCATCAATCTTACATATGATACAGTCTTCCAAAGACAACAATTGGACGAGACAAAGGGAATCTATTAATTATTTATAAATCATTTACACCGATCACGTATATCATTCGTCAATACGTCTTAACTTTAATTACGTCACATAATTGTACGACCTGAGCTTTTGCTCCGGCAAATCTGCAACTTGGTGGATTGTTTTTCATCAGAAATCAGAAATTTTGGGGATAGAATATTCCAAGGTGTGCCATCAATCCCCAATTCCCTCCTTCCATTCATTCCAAGATTTTCTATATTACGCTCCTGCCTTGTTCCAACCACTTCACCCACGTTCCTACCCGAAAGGATATAAACCAAGCAAATCCGGTCCCAAAGATCAAAAAAAGACAACCGTCGGATTGGGAACGAGATACTTTGTTGTCTGTTGTTATCCATTCTGCCAAAATTGATTTGAGAGATTTTTGAGAGCCATTCAAAGTTTCACAAACACAATACTACCCCTCCATTCACATATTTCTCCGCCTAAAAAAAGAATCCATCTGCCATACGGCTCCTCTTTTACCCAAAGATTCACCCTGTTCTAAACCTATTGATGCCCGTTTCTTCTATAAATACCTTCAATACGATTCCCAAATAAACTTTTACTTATCATTCATCATGGCAGAGAATTCGAGAGATTCGCCAAGCTCAGGCTTCACCGAGTCATCAGCAGCAGCAGCAGCTACCCCTCCACCACAAAGACCAGCGGTTCTCAAGAAACAGATTACTCGACACCCAGCTTTAAGTCCGTCGATTACGAACGTTCCAGTGACGCCGGGTGGTTATTTGGGGGCGTACGAAACGATTCAAGCAGAAGATAAATCCATCGAGATCGACGAGCAAAACTATTTTATCCAAGGCTTCAACCAATCTTCTATCATGGCAAAATCTCCATCCGATGCCGAGACGGGCACATTATCAAATCAAGAAGTTCTTCGCAGAATGAGTCTAGCTCCTGGTCGCGAGAGACAAAATTCCTTATCGGATCTTGATCCACGCGCGGCGCATCCTTCGTTGAATTTGACTGGAGGCATCATTTCTGCGACATTTTGCATACAGCAATCTTTGATGTACAGAAAAGGCTCAGATTGGGTGAGTGCGGAGACACATTTTTGAGGTAACTCTGATACTAACGATCGCATAGACATGGTCGCAAAGACATGGTGGTTCCTCGCAATTCGACTCTTTCAGATATCTCGCATCGGAAAAATCGCCATGGCATCATACACTAGTTGGCTGGACGGGAGAAATCAACCCGATTGAGGATCTTACTCCTCCAGATACTCCTCCTCTTGGAGGTCATCCTATACAATCGCAACCTCCACAAAATAGAGTTCCTTTCAATAAGTGCTCTGCGCCAATCCCGGTTGATGGCGTTACTATGCCTCCAACACCACCAGAAACCGATGGATTATTTGTTACAAGTGAAGATAGGCAACGACTGGAAAGACAACTGGCAAATCAATCACATGGAAAGATCGTCCCGGTTTGGTTATGTGATGACGCAGATACTAGTGAGGACGGAAGTGTTTGTTTGAAAGATCAATCAAGATGGAGAAGATTCGCCGAGCATGAATTATATACTTTATTCCATTACAAACAACACGAGCCTACGAACGGCCGACAAGAACGACAATCCTGGGCGGATTATTATCGCATGAATCAAAAATTCGCAAATCGAATCCTCGAAATTTACAAACCGGGCGACATTGTTATGGTTCACGATTATCATCTCTTACTGCTTCCCAGCATGTTGAGACAACGCGTTCCACACATGAGCATTGTCTTCTATCTACATATCCCATTCCCCAGTAGCGAGTTTCTTCGTTGTTTACCGAGAAGAAAGGAGATATTGGAGGGTGTGTTGAGCGCAAATTTGGTCGGATTACAATCATTCAGTTATACACGTCACTTTAATTCCTGTTGTACTCGTATTCTAGGATTTCCATCTACGAGCGCAGGTGTCGAAGCATATGGTGCGAGATGTGATGTGGCGGCTTTCCCCATTGGAATTGATGCGCGAAATGTTGAAAAGCTCGCTTTTGATGATCCTGCTGTTGATGAAAAGGTTGCTGCACTGAAGAAGTTGTATGCGGGCAAAAAAATCATTGTCGGTAGAGATCGTCTTGATAGTGTTAGAGGTGTTGCACAAAAGCTCATGGCCTTTGAACGCTTCTTGGAGAATTTCCCGGAATGGCGTGAGAAGGTCGTTTTGGTGCAAGTCACAAGTCCAACCAGTGTTGAAGAAGAAAGAGAGGATTCTGGAAATAAGATTGCAGCCAATGTTGCCGAACTTGTTGCGAGAATCAATGGTCTATACGGATCTTTGAGCTTTTCACCCGTCCAACATTATCCTCAATATCTCTCCCAAGAAGAGTATCTCGCTCTTCTTCGTGTTGCAGATGTTGGTTTGATCACGAGTGTCCGTGATGGCATGAACACAACAAGTTTGGAGTACGTGGTTTGTCAAAAAGAGAATCATGGTCCTTTGATTATCTCCGAATTCTCTGGATCGGCTGCTGTCTTGGATGCAGCCATCCACATTAATCCGTGGGATTTCAATACCGTTGCCGAAAATATTCGACTTGCTTTGGAACTGCCCCCGGCCAAAAAAGCAGAACTTCATGAAAAGTTGTCCGAGTACATTTTCAGTAATGACATCACAACCTGGACGAAGAGTCTCATTCGAACATTGATCACCAAAATCAGTTCCAACAGTCATGCATTTGCAACACCCCTTTTGGATAAGACTTCTTTGTTGGCCCAATACAAAGCTGCCAATAAGAGATTGTTCATGTTCGATTATGATGGTACTCTTACTCCGATTGTTAGAGATCCTGCGGCAGCTTTACCTTCTGATAAGCTATACCGAACCCTGAAAGCACTCGCCTCCGATCCTAAGAATGCCATTTGGATTATCAGTGGTAGAGATCAAGAATTCTTGGGACAACATCTAGGACATATTCCAGAGTTAGGATTCAGTGCTGAACATGGTAGCTTTATGCGAAATCCAGGTAGCCAAGAATGGGAAAATCTTGCTGAACAATTCGATATGGGTTGGCAAAAGGAAGTTATGGAATGTTTCCAGAAATATACTGAGAAAACTCCAGGTTAGTAACATGTCTATGCAATCGATTTTGGGGGGGTTTGTAGCTAACAAACTTAGGCTCTTTCATTGAACGCAAACGTTGCGCTTTAACATGGCATTACCGTCCTTCAAACCCAGAACTTGGTGAACAGATGTCTCGCGAATGTCAAAAAGAACTCATGGCCACTGTTGGTAAGGCTTGGGACGTCGAAGTCATGACTGGTAAAGCAAATCTTGAAGTTCGTCCTACTTTCATCAACAAGGGATCGATCGCCAAACGCCTCGTTGATGCTTACGGTAAAGAAGTGGGACAAGCTCCTGAATTCACATTCTGTGCGGGTGATGATACGACAGATGAAGATATGTTTAGATCTTTGAACAACAGTGAATTGGATGTAAACCATGTTTTCACCGTTACTGTGGGCGCATCAAGTAAACCAACATTGGCTAAATGGCACCTTTTGGAACCATCGGATGTTATTAGTAGTATTGCACTTCTTGGTGGAGGTGACACAAATGTAGCTGATTTGGGACCGGTTAGTGTCATTGAGGGGAAAGTTCGAGAGGATATGATGGGAAAGTTGGAGGCATCGGACATGATTCCTGGAGCACCTAGCACGGGTGAAGCAAGATAGGTTGTCTTGTCAGGTGCAAGGGAAGGATTGTTAGGTTTGAATCTTTTTGAGGTATGGGCATAGCGTCGGATGGGATAGGTCTTGGAAGGAATTATGAATAGTTAGAAGGATTATGAAATGATTGATAGGTTGATTCGGGGTAGATTTGGCAAGTAGGGATACATGGACATAGGATAGGATAGAGCGTTGTGTTCAAATTCGATTTGATGCGCTGTGAATAGGGTGAAGGGATTTTTGAACATGCGAATACCGAATAGAATAAGTAGATGATCTCAGATTATGTTTGTGCGAATGTATAGGTTGATGCAATGATGAGGAATTTTTCAATTATTTAAGTAAATAACAAGTATCTGAATGATGGAATGGTTTATATTTATTTCTGGGTACCTAGGTAGGGATGGTTGGATGATTTCGTGGATTTGTGGATTTGTGATTTATGATTGTTGTTATTTGTGATTTGGGAATTGGGGAAGTTGTGTGTGTACCTAGGTAGTTATTAGTAGCTAGTGGATAGTGACTGGGCAGTAAGTAGGTAGGCTAGGTAGGCTAGCTGAAGGTGAGTGAGTATAAGTGTGATTCTTTTGTGTGATTGTTTTGTGTGATTTTTTTTGTGTATTTACCTGGGTTCTTTTTTGAGAGGAGAGGAGGGAGAGGAGGGAGAGGAGGGAGAGGAGATATTTATTGGATTGGTAGGTGGTTGGGTAGGGGGTTGGGTAGGTAGGGAGTTTCTATACTGCTTTTTGCGGAAGGGGTGATGATGATGATGATGATGGTAGGTTGGTAGATTGGGGAAAGGAGAGAGGAGAAGAAGAAGAAGTGAGTGTGATGTGGTGTGTGGTGTGGTGTGTGGTGTGTGGTGTGGGAATACAGATATCTGGTATGTTTAGTTAGGTTTGTATTGGAATGGATTAATAGTGATGTGGTTTACTGATGTGTTATGAATAGATGATGTGTTATGGTATGGATAGATGAGATTGATTAGATTTATGGCTTTATTTTATTGTATTGTGCGATGTGTTGAGTTGAGTTGAGTTGAGTTGAGTTAGTTATAGGCTGGCTGGGTGGGTAGCTATCGCGTTTGAGGATGGAGACAGAGTTGGTCAATCTGTATGGAGGAATCTTATAGGTTAGGGAGGAAATCTTGGGGGTTTGGTACACGATGTGATGTATGGGAATCTGTGGGGGGGGGGATTTTCAATTTGATTCACGAGGTCTGTGAACTGGTTTTTGATGTTGTGGTGGGTGGTGTGGATTATGTTATTTCTTGTTATGAATACATTGGTAGGTACATTTTTGTTGTTGTGTTATCTCCGATTTGGGATTTTGATATCTTGTTCCATTTCCATTCCATCGTGACCCATTCTATCTCCGCCTCTTTTTTGCTTCATCTTCATTCTCATTCTCATTCTCATCCGTAGTATCATGGATATGATGCTGATATGTATATTGTAGATTTAATCACACATCCTGAGAATTTGCGGGGAATGGGCTTTGGATTGACGAGAAGGGGTATGTGTCTGGAGATTTGTGTTTTTCGATTGCATAGGGTGGGTAAAAAGGGGGTGGAGAAAGGATGGGGATGGGGATAGAGTGGTTCTTATATGTTTTAAGGAGAGACGGGAGGGAAGAGACGAGGGGAGAGGACATAGAGGGGGGTAAGGAGGGGGAGGGAGAAATTAATTTAGAAGAAGGCGAATGTGAAGAAGTGAATTCATTCCATGAAAAGTAATCATATCTACCTAGCCATTCAAGATCTAGATATATGTATCAAAGTTTAAATTTCACGTGTATATAAATACTCTATCCGAGATTTAGAATTGATAAAAAAACTTAATCCAATCCGCGTCTAACTTATCGAGGAAAGCGTATTCTACGAGTTTAGCTTACAGTTCGATTTTTGCAATAGACTATGATATTTTTCTAGATTTTCTATGTTGGGAATTGAAAGTGTTTGATGGGCGGGTGGTGTGTAATTTCTTGTGGTTGTCATTTCTCGTGGTAGTGTTTCAATTGTTTCACGTCGTTGCATTTTATCCAAATTTTGGGGTTGTGATGACCATGCTTGCTTTCCCAGACTAGTATCAGCTCTTACAATCATTTTGTTTTGAGTGGTTCGAGGGTTCTCGAAGTACCCTGGTGAGAAGGATGGATAGACGAGATGGTTTGTTTGGAATTTGGAAGGGTAGTGAGGAGGTGATGGATTTTATATGTTCGTAAGAAAAAACAGTAGTAAGTTTCAAGGGGGAGGGAAGTGAGTTTCTTACGAGTCAGTAGTGGAGGATCACCATGAGTAGAATCTGGAGTTGATAGTGAATATTCTATTTGCAGTTATTGCAGTACCTCACTTGCCTATTGAATCTTTTTGGGTGAATAGGAACCTATAAACTTTTCTATCTATTTGTATAGAATAACTTCATGAGACGACTATAATTTATAAAGACTTCTTTTTAAGCTTAAAAACATCATCTAAAATATCCTGATATCTTCAAACTGAGAAGGATATCCAAGATGTAGATGATAATGAGCAAGATGATCTTTTCCGCGTTGTATGGTCCCCTCCAGCTACTCTCTCATTCTATGACATTCATCTTGTATTATTTTTGCTGTTATTTTACGCCATCAGCATCATTTAATTCCCGTCAACATCAACCTTCATATTACAATCACATACATCAAGCATAAATAGGATAAGAGAACCCCTTAAATCCTACTCCCAGAGAAATTCTTAAGCGAAGCTTAAGAGAGCGTGATATTGATATGATCATTTGGTGTAGCATGTATTATATGGAGTATAAATTTATCTAACCGTTTTGTGTAGATGGGTTTAGTGAGTTATATACTGGCTTAAGCTTTAGGTCCTGTGTGATTTATTATGTCATTTATTGATTTAGTTTTGAAGTTGATGTGAAATGGAAATATTAGAGAGAGTAGTATGTAATGACTGAAATCTTTCTATTCTATTACTCCTATACTTCATGAGACTCTTCAACAAATACTCGGTGAAGAAGAGATCAAAGTTCCAATCATCTCTCTATCCGCATGCTCTGTGATCTTTCATGATTTTCTCTACAGCACACATTCGAAGAGATATTTCCAGAAAAGACCGTGGATATCGAGGCAGTGATTTACTCGTGTCCTGATATCAACGGAAATGCGAGTATATTGAGAGATTGTCTATCACGGTATTTGAATAGTTTGGAGTAGTACTAATTAATACAAGAATTAAGAATAAGATAGAATTAGTAGTGATTATTATAGATACCTATGTTGTTGAAAAGGTATTAGAATATAAATAACAGATTTGAATTCAAAAATAACTTTATATTCTGGAATCACGTAAAAAGAGACACTAAATAAAAATGGAAATTAAAAAAAAGTTTGAAATGATTTCTATTTATTAAAATAAGTTTTCTTGATTTCGTAATAATTATCTATACAATTTCTAAAATCAATAAGTATGATATTCTCAGTTCAATTCTATAAATCTAATTTTTCGATCTTATGAATAGTTGAATGCTACAGATTCCTGAAGATCAATTACATACTTGTTCCAATTCTCTTGAAGACAGATGATCCTCTAAGATTTGCTGAGTTATATAGACAAGATCATTTTGAGATCGATACTCATAAAAATTGCTAGACTCAGACTCTCAGGGGTTAATCGACATCAGTCGATATGGGTTCTCTGCCAAATTTTCGGCAAAAACTGCTGCATTATTCCACATCTGAAGTTTTTAGCAAGTCATGACTTCGAAAGAGACTTCAAATAACTGGGTTTCCCAGACTGACTCAAGAGAACGCTGTAGTGGCCCAGAAAAAACTCAGTCTTTCGTAGCGGTCAGAATATAGGATTTTGAAATTGATAAAACGACTTATTTTACAGCAAATCGTATTAACCGTAGCTCAAGTTTCCACCCATGGTCATTACTGTACCTCAGGTTAATGGCCTGTAAAGCACGTCAAGTGATAAACGTTATAGGGCATTGAATTGCTGCTCCTTAGTTTAGCCGAAGTCGTCAGATAGATATTTCTATCCGTACATCAACGAGTGCACGATTTCAGAAGATTCTCTCAGAAGTACGGAAAATTATCGATAGTAAAGGTGATTTGAATGTTCTTTGATTTGGATAAATGACCTACGGTTTGATTTCTTGATAAGAAATAAGTATCTAAAGAAAGTCTCACGATATCTTGACACAATTATTCAGAGCTACCTCAAATCGAACTTTCTCGTCGTCTCACAGATTCGTGTAGCCACTGTTGTATCATTAATGTCGGATCCCTAGGTTTCGTAGTGGGCGAGTTGCCAGGCGCGCTGTTTAGAGCTTTTGTACCCCCTTCTACATCAAAGGGCTCGTTGTTTGATACGAATTTGATGTTCGAACGATATAAACTTATATTCCGATATGAACCAACACATGAACATATGATTTGTTGTATTATAAAGGATCACTATCATATAAGTATGTGCGAGTTGGCGTCCGCATTAATTCAGAGCCCTTGTGCTTGGGAGTGAGAGTGGGAGTGTAGACACAACGGGGGGGCGACTTATAGCTCTCCTTCCTCCCCCTTTTAGAGCTCTTTGAATATCGCAATTCATATCATTCAATTACTCTTATAACCTTAGATTACTATATAACCTTACCATAATACCAAATGATAATAGAAATAAGTCTACGCTACAAAAGTTTTGTAAAAACCTCGATATCATGTTTTCTTCGCTAAGCTCTAAAACATTATCTTCACACTTTTAACAAAAAGATACATGCACCAGGTGAATGAATTGATAGATAAAACTTATGAATAGATAGATATCACTTAAATGATGTAGTTGAACTACTTCAGTAGTTCAATTTATCTCTGGACTAGAGCAAGCTATCAACCCACTAAGTAGTACTAGTCCCCGTTAGTGATATGCACGAAACTACATAAATAATTCCGGAACTGTTTCCCGTTCTTTTCCTAATATCCTTGCGCATTCAATTCTACATTGTCGTCTTCGCACATAATATTCTACTTGTAATAACAATTAAAACTGCTATCAATTACAATATTATAATGGTCAACATGACAAGAATGCAAAAAACCAGTTTTCTCGTGTTGTCCGATACACACGATTACCAATTTGGCGATAATGCATCAAGCAAGTTACAGCTCCCCGTTCCAAAAGTCGATGTTCTGCTTCACTGTGGAGATTTAACACAAGTTGGAGGTGTTCCCGCCTTCAAAAAAGCACTTAAGATACTCAGCAACTTTGACGCAGAGCTTAAACTAGTTATCGCAGGAAATCATGATTTGGAGCTTGATAAAGGGTGGTGCAAAGCACACCTCGAGGAAGACGAGGACTATCTTGACGACCATGCACGAGCCATGGAAGTAATGAAGGGGGAATTAGCGAAAGAAGCGGGTGTTACTTATTTGGAGGAAGGAACGCACACTTTCAATCTTAAAAGCGGTGCAACATTTAAGATATATGCTTCTCCATACCAACCCGAATTTAACGATTACGCCTTCCCCTATAAACGTAATGAAGACCGATTCAATGCATCTGGGGAGATTGCAGAGGGAGTAACTTCCATTGCTGAGAATCCTATCCTAGCTGATGTGGATATTGTTATGACACACGGACCACCAAAGGGCTTCTGCGACGAGAACTTGGGCTGCGAGAATACTCTTCGCGCAGTCCAACGTGCGAAGCCTTTGATGCATTGCTTTGGCCACATCCATGAGGGGTATGGCGCCAACAAAATCGTATGGGAGGATAAGATGAAGGGAGAGGATGAACTGGTCAATAATTATCCGCAGGCTATGGATTTGTGTATTAAGTCTGGCAGAGAAACTCTGATGGTTAATGCAGCGATTCTGGATGGAGAACATCAGCCTACCAATGCTCCATGGATCATCAACTTGGACTTGCCTTCTTTATAGGCAAACGCTTTCACATAGTCCAGGCTGTAATTCAATAATATAGGGATTTAAATATCTAAAAGCAATTAGAAATCTACAAATAGTTGAATTTCTCATCAAATTTGGTATCTCAAATGACTTTCTTCCTAATTAGTTTAGAGATTTGATAATCTTCAATGTTGAATTGATATCCGGACTATTGAATACCTTGATTTGAAGAACAATTAGATTAGCTCAAGCTACGCAACAAGTATCAATCATTACTTCAACCCTATGAATTGATTAGCCCTATTTGTTTCACAATGTATTAACGATAATCATATGATTATGTAGTGATATTGTATGCTGTAAGGGTGGTTGAATAACATGAATCCGGACAACAAAAGGGCCCTGAAAGGGCGAGGAAGGAGGGTTACAAGTGGTTCTTTTGTTATATCTGTATGTCTACTCTCATTCCCGAGATCGGCTCGAGCCCTGCGAAATCTATCATCATTTCAATTTCACGAATGAATTAGTCCTTTTCTTCCCCTAACCCGATATTCCCTATCTTCTCTATACGTCATTATACTTTGACAACCTGCCAGACTTGCAGTTCAATGTCTCGGGAACAAGTACAATATTATTGTACTTTCAAAGTGATTCATTTACTTGGTATCTCAGTCAGGTGGTACTAGAAAGCGAAAACTGACTCTGATGTCTGGAATTCTATGGGACAATGATCACATGTCTTGGTTCGAGCCGAAGCTGTACTACAACTGCTATTTATTCAATAGAGCCTGAGTGCTTCTGATGTACTCTAATTGCCCTCTGCTTTCGTCATTTTCAAGGCTTTCAGGACTGAAAGGATTAGAAAGATCAATAACGTGCCTCCAGATACGGTGTTCAAATCTGGACAAAGATTAGGCCTACGGCCAAGGTCATAGTGGAAGTACGACATGAAAGTTGTTTTTGAGACAAAATCTGTGACGCATGTCCTAGTACGACTTCATAACTTCACAAATGCCATCCGGTGTTGCATCGCAATTACAATGCGATTTTTAATTCTGAGCTGAGCTCAGACATATCACATGAATGAGACAGTGATCGTAATATTCAGATACAAAAATGCCTACACTCCATTTCCATTTTCGTTCCTTTCTCCAAATACTGCCCTGCTTCGATCTCAAGATGAAGCTCGTAAACATTTTTGCATTCATTATCACTTCAGTTGGAGCATCTGAGGGAGGTCATCATGGCCGTCCCTTCCGTCCATCTCCACCTTCCCTACGCCCCCCGCCAGCTTTCCCAAGACCTCATCCCAAAAACCCATCAATTCCTGGACCAATAGTCGATCTCGGTTACGAGCGTCATCAAGCCATCTTCAATGTCAGTACCCCTTATTCATTCTCATTCAAACCAGGGTATCCGAAGTCTGGACTGCAGTTTAAATAATAAAAGGTTTCGAATATCTAAAAACAGTTGAATATCTGAGAATATCTCAAGTGATAATCATATTGGATATCCAATATGTTCTAATTGCCTTGGGGATTTGATAATCTTCATTGTTGGATTTCAATCCGGACTACCAGACACCCTGCCCATTCCTGTACTCGTACTAATCAAATCCATATCTAGTCCACCGGCCACTACAATAACTTCAGCAATATCCCCTACGCTATTCCACCTCTTCAAGATCTTCGGTTTTCAAAATCCCTTCCTATTAACAGTACTTCTTCGCATATTAATGATGGTTCCATCGGACATATATGTCCACAAGCTCGTCCAGATTGGACAGAGGATGCTGAACTACTAGTCGCGTTGTATACTTTGGGACTTATCAATAATATAGATCCAAGTCACTTAAAATCAAATCCATTTGAAGATGTTCCTCACAGCTGGGAAAGCGAGGATTGTTTGTTGTTGGATGTAGTTGTGCCAGAGGGAGTCGTTGAAGCGGTGAAGGGAGATGATGATTTTGTTCCTTGTGAGTACTACCCCTCTATTATATTGCTGAATAGAGAGACTTATAAAACTATAGTGCCAGTAATGGTTTGGATACATGGAGGAGGTTTTACTTTCGGACACAAGAATCAAGCTGGTAGTCCATATGGTTTTTTCAATGCTTCTACCTTCTCATCAGAAAGTGTAGCTATCCGCAATAGCATCATCTTTGTTTGTATATCGTCCTCCTAATGCTTGTCACAATTAACATTTCACCCAAGGTAACCCTAAACTACCGTCTCGGCGCCTTCGGTTTCCTCTCCACCCTTGACAACTCGACCGACCCTCACCCAACCCCAAACGCTGGTCTCTACGACCAAGCTCTCGCCTTAAACTGGGTTTCCCAACACATCTCCAAATTTGGGGGAGATCCCGACCGTGTAACCGTCATCGGAGAATCTGCGGGCGCATCATCTATCCTGCACCACATCACATCCTATGGTGGCTCGTCGTCCTCATTAAATCCAGATTCTTTACCACGTGCACCTTTTCAACGAGCTATTCTCCAGTCCCCGGCTTTTTTCCCCGGCGCCAATGCTGATACTGAGCTCGAGACTTATGATGACTTTTTGTTCGTAGCTGGAGCAGATACTTTTGAAGAATTGAAGAACAAGTCTGAGGAAGTATTGATTTCTGCTAATAAGCTTTTGGTTTCGAAATCGCCATATGCACAATTTACTTTCGGACCTACTCTCGATAATACTTTTATCCCCAAGCCTATTTCTATACTATTGACAGATGGCAGTTTTTGGGACGACATTGATGGGATAATGGTTGCTCACAATTCACACGAGGGACTTTTATTTACAGATATCAAAGCTGTGGAAAATGATGATACATTTGCGAAATTTATACGGAACAGTTTACCAGGCTTGAAGGATGAAGATTTAGAGTACATTGTTAAGGACCTATATCCTTTGGAAGACGAAAATTCACGAGTTCTGGACAAATTACTTAGGGGTGCGAATGCCACGGCGGAACTGAGCACAATTTGTAATGTGGTGTATTTGCTTGATGCTTTTGGAGCTGAGGGGAGTTATAAGTATGTTTTTGGTGTAGAGCCTGGTGTCCATGGACAGGATGTTGGGTTTTCGGTTAGTGGATTCTCTTTTTATATTCTATGTTTCCGTTTTAAATATTCTAACTGTATAGATAGTTCTATCAAAAACCGCCTTCTGATCCAACGGATATATATAACACGGGAAAGGTCCTTCCTTCCACTGAGATTGTCGCCCAAACACTCCAAGCCTATATTGTTGGGTTTGTGAAAGAAGGAGATCCGAATCGCGGATTGATTGGACCAGAGTTCCCGGTCTACAAAGACGGAATTGTGATTCTTGGATCAAAGGAAAATGGAAGTATGATTGTACCGGGAGGAGAAGTGAGGGTGGAAGAGGATCTGTGGGTTGATGAGGGGACGAGAGAGAGATGTAAGTGGTGGGGTGAAGCGAGATATTGGGATGGATATCAAGAAGGTGATCAGAATGATGAGGGTAGTGGAAGTGATGGAGACGGGGATGGAGACGATGGGGATAGAGATGACGGAAACGAAGATGATGGAAATGAAAACGATGGAGACAACAATGAAGATGACGGAGACGGGGATAACAATGATCAAGACAACGAGAATGACAATACACAATCCAGCCTCAAAGTCCACACATCTCACAAAACAACCCCACGCCCATTAAAGAACTGGAGAAACAAACCTTCCTTATCTCAACTCCAAAACGCCGACTCTATCACACCCACATTTTCAGACATCTTCAATACCGGGAACGATGGTAAGAAAGTGGAATGGCAAGCGGAGTGGAAATTCGATTGGATGGGCAATAGTGAAAAGGCTTTTGCGAATACTGGGGCAAGTGATAACAAAGGAAAGGGAAGAGAGATTGAGGAGAAAGAAGAGTTAAGATAATAATGGGGGTCGAATTGAGAAATTTGAGAGATCATTTGCTTCATAACAGAGTCTGTTTTATACTATTTTGAATTTGAAATTATCATTTACTTAACTAACATGGTGAACAAGGTGTTGTGGGTTTGAGAGTAGTTCATATCATCCTTAGCTAAATACTCAGGGAGGTAGGTATTGCATCCTTCCACTTGTTTATCATGATATTGAGTTATTGAAACGATAATCTGATAATCAATCAACCTTGATTGTTCTGTAACAAACATTAAGAAGATCCAGATTACTCTACCTATTTGAGTACAGTACAATGACATTACTCCTCTTCATCAATCCTCACTTACCAGTTGACGAAATCACCAAGCGTCGTCTGATATAAAGGAAAAGAGCACCAGCCCTGGCACCACTATCCCTCCATTCCAAGCTCCCCAGTAAGGAATTCCAACGGCTCTCCTCTACCTGACTCAAATTCCAGTCTGAGGACACATCCCCTACCACTAATTAAACTAGAATATTCAACCTCGATGCAGTCAACTTTCTCAACACCCTCTCCCATCACTCTATCAACATCAAGAGAATTCTCCTGCTGACCACAGCCATCATGCACCATACCCATACCCACATGCAAACCCACGCCAAAATACAACCTCACCTCACCACGCTCTAATCTCGTGGTCCCAATGCACCCAAGCATTTATACCCAAATACCTATATACACATATACACATCACTCTGTTGACGAATTCCAAATCCATCGCTAAACCCATGAAAAAATATCACAAACAAAAACAAGTCCATAGTCAGCGTCACAACTATCCACATCATCTCGTATTAAAACTGTTATCCCACTCCAATCCATCATAGATTGATATGATAGCATTAGATTTTGACGAGATAAATCCCTGGGTTCTCATCAAATATCGCATCACAATGAAGTCTATGCAACCATCCAGCCAACAATCCAACTTCACTTCCACCCTCCAACATTCAACCTTCCAAATCTAAAGTTTCAAATCTAAAGCTCCCCGAGGAAGAAAAGATCGCCACCATCTCTCATACCCACATACATACCCACTTACCCCTCCTTTCCTTCCCTTTCCCATCTTCCCAAATCCATAAAACCAAATCGATCCAAACCACTCAGCTCATCTGCATCTCCATCTCCACTTCTCTGCATAAAGCACAGATACAAACCCCGACTCCGGTCCTATGCCATCCAATCCACCTCTCTTCTCTCTTTTCCCTTAACCGAACATTGATGTCCGTAGCCGGGGCGGAATCCTTTAGGTTGAATCTTATCCTATAACATGTTAGCTTTCCCGCAGCTCCGTTTTCATGCCTATGAATATCATACATCGCATGCATACCAAGATAAAGAATCTTCGACTAGAAATTCTAGCATACATGTCGAATGATATATTCCCACCATCCAGTTTTCAAAGTAGCTATCTATCTATAATTAAATATGTAGCTCCGCCGTTGAGCCGAACGTTGATCATAAATAAGCTTATAAGTTATAAACGCAATTCGATGGAGACTCCATGGATGCACAAAAGCCATTGCATTCCTATCCATTCAACTATCTCATTATGGATCTCTATCCTACAAGTTCCATACATGGTTCCCATATTTATGTCTCTATGATCTTCCATACAAAAATGTAGAGGAAATGGAGATGTACGAAAACGATTATGACTGCATTCTTCCACCTACCTATTTATCTCATCACACAGTAAGGCTAGATTTTCCACGCTTCATTCATGCCTAATTTTGAATTCTCAAAGTCGGCTCTTCCCTTTCTAGTCCTTCTTTTCTATTTCCTATTTCCCATATCACTTCATCTCTTTGCCCATTTGTTTCATACTTATCTTCTTGCTTTCTCACTGCCTTCTTCTTCCTCTCAACCTCAACCCCAAACACAAACCTTCCGCACACTCTCGTCCACGCCCCTCACACCTACCCCTCACCAAGCTCATCAAATTCCAACTCTGCCCGCCCCTCACACCTTCACCCTCTCCACTCTCACACTCACACTCACACTCCCTCCCACTCTCCACTCATCCCTCACACCCCTCACACCCCACCAATCAAACCCACTCTCCCAAACCCGAATCAAAACCCACATACCCCTCACACATACAAATCTGAAACACATCCTCTCGCAACAATCCATCCACCGTTCTAAATCCTCCCATCTCCTCGTATATCCTCGTACTTTCCCTTCCGTAACTCAGATTAATAATCTTTGATCTTAAATCAAGGAAATAAGAAAAGAAGAAAAGAAGCCTGTGCACCCCAAGGCTCATGCTCTAGCTAGCCCAGCCACCTGTTCGCATAGCAATGGCATAGTAATGGTGTAGTACCACCTACCAACCGACGTCGAGAATCGCTCCCCATCAACCAACAAATTCACCATACACGTACACACATTATCTGTGCTCCCTTTCCGGTCCCATGGTATGATCTCAACATCTCAGAACCTCCATTGCATCTCATCCTATCTCACTCAACCTCAGTATCTCTATCCCTATTCCTATTCCTATCCCTATCCCTATCCCCATTTCCGCTTCATCCCCTCCATCAATCTCCATCTCACATCCTACCTACGTCCTAACCTACCTACTCACCTTCCCCCCCAAGTTTCTATCCAATGCATCCATCCATCTACTCCAAGCTCCCACACCACGACAGCCGCTTCTCTCTCATCTCCCATGTCCATGCGCATATCCCTTCTCTCCCCTTCCCTCACAATCATCCCCCGTCACCCCCTCAGAAAAAAGCAAAACCCACAACCCACAACCCGCAAAAGCAAACCCCCCCAAAAGTGAAAACAGCGAGGTTGGGATGTACATATATACATACATACATACATACATAACCAAAAGCACAATGCACAAGTCATAATTCCACAATTCACAATGCACAATTCATAATAATCATTCATAAATAGGTATCAAAGCTGTGAAAGAAAACAATACATCCATCCGTAAACCTTATAGCTAAGAAATCCATCTATGTATACATACATACATAAACTCTCTCATCCATACTCCCATCCATTCCTCTATGCAGAAACCATCACACACACACACATACATACACACATACACACACTCACTATTCATAAGATGTTTCGAACTTACTAGGTGTGGTTTATTAGGTACATATTTATCCATTGAATATACTACCTACCTACCTACCCATCAAACCTATCAACCCTACACCCATAAATCCATACATCCATACACAAACAAAAATATAAAGATAATTATATCATGCGCAAGTCAAGTAAAGTAAAGTCAAGTAAAGTTAAATCAAGTTAGATAAGAACCAAGCTAAACTAAGCTACCACTCACTCGCATCCCTTCCCGCATCCCCTCCCGTGCCCTACATCCCAGAAATATCCCGCTCTTGTATCCACCCATCCACTCACCATCCACTCACCATCCATCCACTCACCATCCATCCACAACCCACCCAGCCCAGCCCACACCACTCAACCAACTACCCTACATGCATAAGTACACACACAACCCTTCATCCATTTAACATCCAACCCACCACCCAACTTCATTTCCCAGCTCTACGGATCAAAAGCTCAAAAGATCCCAGGCTCAAACCCTAAATCCTCAAGTCTCGAGACCATACATACCACACTAAAAAGACCCCTCCCCTAAATAAGAAAATGCAAACAAGGATGTACCACCACCTCAAAGAAAGATGCACGTATACAAAACAGACTAACCAGACGCCAGCCAGCCAGCCAACTCGTTCATCCCATCCCAAACCCCATAACAATATTTCACCTTCCTCTTCCTCGTGACAACCCCTAAGATCCAAATATTATATTTGCCACTCATGAAAATTAAGAAGCATACACACATATCTAGAACCGTAAACTCTAAAGAAAAATTGTCGAAAAAGCCTTGAGAAAATGATTGAATAGCATTTGAGTATAGAGGTATCAATATTGCAAATCTCATAGCCAAGTCATAGCCAAGCATGCCGCCCATTAGAAAATCCCGAGTACAATACCGCCTCGTCCTGACGCTAGAAATAACAATTGAAACCTCCCAAGTACGCTAAATCATGACAAAAAAAACCAAGTAATCCCACCCAAACGCTACCCAAGTATCAGACCTAAATACAAAGGAAATCGGTTAAATCCTCGGGCTCAAGCTTCCTCAAAATCATGGAAGACAATCGGAGTTTGGTGTAGGACATCAGTGCACTGTGTAATCAGTGGTCGACGATATTGAATGTGACGATGAAAACACTAGACACAATCACGGGTACTAGCCCCGGTACATGAGATCTACTGTATATACCACAATATTGAATGGCGTGAAGAAGTCGATGAAAGTTGAGAGAGAGAAAAAAAAAAAGAGTTAATAATGCCAAAACCCTAAACACCAACGCTGGTAAATCACAATGTCCCTTTCCCGATAGTCGCAGAATAACAAAGGGGAAAAATCGTGATAATAAAGTAAATCTGTCTTGTTTCATGAATTCGTGACATTCTTGCAAATAGAATGTAAGTCGGGTATCGTTAAAAGAAATTGACTCGAGGTGTAATATTTACACAAAAGGTATGAGCCAACGAAATCAATCCTTCAAAATGCATTGTCGTGTACACTGATCTGACCACTTGTTGCGGCTGCTGCCAGAGCGTCCAATCCTTCAGTGCGATAATGTTGCGTAGATGATTGAGGGACTTGCGGATACATAGTTTGGCTTGAGGTAGGGGGCTTATGTGTGTAAGAATGTTCATTGCCATTTGATAGTGTGTGGTAGTGGTGAACAGCTGGTGGTTGAGGCTGAATTGTTCGAGAAGGCTCCTCGTGATATCCATTGGATCGTACAACGGCAGGGTTATAATCTGTCGCGGTGGCACTTTGTGGAGTGATAGGCGCTGCACCTTCGGAGCCAGTCGATCCTTCCGGAGATGTTCCTTGGAATCTATTGTCAGAAGTCTGCTGGTATACTACTGGACCGTTGTACCATCCATCGCGTCTGTTTGATCTGTGCATGTTTACAGGTAGGCTAGCGGTATGCTTGTGGTGGTAAGACGAAGATGCCCCTGTTCGAGGGCCAAGTGCTGGCTGCTCAAACGTTACTCTTGGCTGATTGGCCTGTGATTGTTGTGCAGTTGCATGAACAGCACGAGCTGTCTCGTTGGCCCAGCTCGCAGCATCCGCATGTGGTGGGCCGTGAATTTCGAGTTGTGTAAATTGTCGATCAAGATGAGAGCTAAGAGGTCGGTCTCTGGAAGGCATTGGTCTTGGGTTAGAATAGGAGACCGATTCTGATATGGAATGTCTTGGTTGATAATAAGAGCTTGATCTATCAGTCATAATTTGACTTGGACGACGTTCAGGCACAATCGGGTTTGGCTGGTGGTAAGAATTTGGTCTATCGGTCATCATTTGAGTCGGACGAGGGTCATCAGACATGGAAGTATTGTTCTGATAGTAAGGTGGTCTATCGATCATTCTTTGACTTGGACCACGATTAGACATGTCAGAAGTTGGCTGATAATATGACGCTGGTCTATCCACAATATTTTCTCTTGGACGCTCATTCATACTAATGCTTGGCTGATGATAAGAATGTGGTCTGTCAATCATCATTTGGTCTCGACTACGGCGAGGTGGAGGAGATTCTCCTCTACCAGGCAACAAGCTTGAGATACCAGGAAGTCTTGCATGTTCTTGCGGAGGGGCATTACTGCGAAGAATCGCGGCCGGTTCAGGTATAGGACCATCAGCGTAATGGTTTGCGTTCATAACACTATGCAGTCTGGTGGTGAATGATGCTAGTGTAGCCGCATTGGTTCCTTGGTGCCAGGTTCTCCTTCTATTATCCATATCTGAATGGTGGGCAGCCATCGATTGTCCACCATTGTTGAATGTCGAGTTTGTAGGGCTTGAAACTAAACTTGGCGAATAGGGTGCCGCTGCAGAGAAATTTGATGACGTGCCAAAAGGGTTGGAAGCGGGACCAGTAGGGGAAAACGGATTTGCTGCCGAGGGTGTAGACAATCTTCGACCAGGCGTATGATGTCCGTCATAAATGCGACCAGCTGGTATTTGTACACCTACGCCTGGACCAGGAGATGATTGAAACCCGAGCGCTGGCCATCGCGGACTATTTTGACCAGTTGAGAAAGTAGCAGAGGTGGGCGTACTGTAACCTCCAGGTGAACTTGGGCGTCTTGTTAAGGGGCTAGGCATTTGTAGAGCAAGTGGGCGTCTGAGATTGTGTGCTTGACTATAACTCGATGCGTGCGACATATTCGACATTATGCTGGAAGTGGAGTAGGAATTTCGATGATGACCACGATATGATGGTACCTGTTCGCTCACTGTAGCAGCTCGTTGTCTGCCAGGGGGCTTAGATCTATCTGTACGAGGCTGTCTGGGAAATCTTGTACTAGTGGCTGCCAACGATCCTGGGGGGATTTCCTCCTTTTGATGTACCGTTTGAGCATGTTGGCGTAAATTGTCTCTTCGAGAGAAGTAACGTCCACAAAAGCATTCGTAGGGACGTTCTCCTGTGTGTTTTCTGCATCACACCAAGGGTTAGTAGATGAGAAGTGATTGTAAAGTGGTTCAGAACGTAGTGAATTACCTTATATGACGCTGCAAATGCTCTGTTCTGGTAAAGTTGAGGTTACATGGCGGATAATCCGTGCAATAGAATTTCTGACTCTTCTTCTTCTTGTGCGGTCTTGGGCTATTGCCATTGGAACTAGCAGCATCGGATTTGTCCATATCAACATCCTCAGACCCAATAGAATTATTTGACCTCGTCGAATTATTTCTGTTCATGGCTGTCAAACCTGCCACGGTTTCTGGAATGGTCGCGGCGACATCGAACGGGGCTTGTGGGAGGGGTCTTTGATTGGCAAGCGCATCTGAGACTGGTCTGAATGAGACTGTTGTAGGAGTTGTTGCATCTTCCGATCCATGCATCGGCCGAGGTTGGGTATTGGGTGCGGTATTAGGTCGAGGTGTCGTAACCGTCGACTCTTGGGGATTGTGGCTGCTGAATGGCCCTTCGCCTTCGGAACCATTGAGGTTATTTGTACGGATGGTATTTGTAGGTAGGAAGGAGGGACCGGATCTCGGACCAGATGCTGGCTCCCGAGTTGATTGAGGATCGGTACTCATTGTGGTCGACGATATTGATCTGATCACTACGGACTCGACGAGAGGGGTGATCGCGATAGTAGGTCGTGTGAGGGACGAAAAGGATGAGGTGATATGAATCGTATCTCTGTCACCGCATCAAGACAAATAAGAGAGTGTTATGGAATTCGTAAGCAGGGCAAAGGTACCCAAGTAGATAGAGGCTTGGTTTCAAAAGAATCCAGCTCCGGTGATTTTCTTTCAGCCTGGAAATGAAGAAGACACAGCCTAGACCTGCAACCGAATCGAAGAGGGTATTGTATTGTTGACGAGAGACGATCAATTAAGAATCGAGTATTTCTTTTTCTTTTTCTTGAAAATGCTTTTTACTTCTTTTCTCAAGAGTTGTCCAGTATTATACACGTCGAGGTAGAGGTTATCCGAGTAACGGCGATAATATTATGTCGTCGATAAGAGGATGGCGGGGGGGACAAGGAAATACTAGGTAGGTAGTGGTTACAACAATAATATGCGACCGGGAGAATAACAATGCTGCTCTTTGCTCTTTTCCTCTTTTTGCCTCGTTTCCGTCCGCGAAGATTAAAAATCGATTTGATTGCGAAAGATTATCGCTACCCGGTATAGTGTAGTGAGTGATGCAAGGATTGTTTTCTATAAATCTTTAGACGCTTTAGACGACTTTTTATAAGATCTGCAAGAATTGATCTTGATATCGATCTCGTTGTAAGCGGATGAATGATTCAAGAGTTGTACCTTGAATTGATGCAAAGATTAAGAGGGACGATAAGGTAGAGGTGTATATATCTATTGTGTATGTTATAGTTCAAAGATATTATGAAGATTGATTGTGTGCGATGATTGTAGCTGATGGTCTTTCGTTCAAAGTTTGCTTGCTTGCTTGCTTGTTGGCTGTGGCAGGAGCAAATGAAGGGGTAAAAGAATAGCTCGAGTCGAGTAGCCGGGTAGCTAGTCTTAAGTGTTTCAAGAAAGGAAGGATTCGGGTCAGGACAAGACGAACACCTGAACAAAATATTCCTTGAGACTTGATAGATTTGGAAGATTCGAAAGATTTTTCTGACTTGAAAAAAATATGTGAGAAGGGGTGTAAGTATGATTGTAAGTATGAGGGTACAAAGGCTTTTCATATGTATCCACTCAACTGTCTAACTTTCATGCTATTTCATTAATATTTTATATATTGTAGATTACAACGATGAAATCAGATCGGTCTCGTTGCTAGAAAGTATTGATAGGTGGGATGAGTTTCAGGTACGATTACTTATCACAGGAAGAGGAAGAGGTAGAGAGAGAGAGGGAGAGATGGAGAGTTTTATTCAAAGGAATCTTACAAGTTTTCTCACCTATTATTGTACCAAATGTTAGCATTTCATCTAAGCAGGGAAGCTGGTAAAGTATAAATTTAGTACTGTTAGTATGCTTCGTAGTAGCTGTCCTCAAGCTCGTTCGAGCTGTCATAGTTGAACCGATAACCTTATGGTAGCGTAACGATAAGCGAATTCAAAGTGGTCTACCAAAAGGTACGAAAAGGTACGAAAGGTACGAAGGCAAAAGTTAACGAATGACGAGAAGCAGAACAAATGAAACGTCGGTGTGAAAGTTAGTCAAAGTCTATCGTTGATACAAAGAAAGCGACTGGATATCCGGTTATAGACACGCAACGCACATTTGCCTTTCCAACTCGGAATACCAAAATAACTTCTCGGCAGAAGAAATCGATAGACGCATTCCCCCTTCATTCCGACCAGTCCCATTCTCATTCAGTCTCACGTACTAGTCCACCCACAGCTGAACAATTTCTACTTGTATATCATTTGATGGCTTATGAGCTGGTACAGAGCTGGCTGTTAAGATGAAACCAAAGTCCGTACGGAGTACTCGCAGAAACACTGATTTGAATAAATGAATGAAGGAATGAATGGGCGTACGGATGAATGAATATAAGGAGGACCTGAAAAGATGACGAGATGACAGCGCGCAACCCATATTTTCAGGAACGGTACACTTTTTCCCACTTTACAACCCATCTTGCATCTTCAAAACTTTCACTCAACTCTCGAGCCACTTAAAGTGACGAGGATTAACTTGAATTCATGTTCCTGTCCCTTACCTGAACCGCTCCAGCCTGCAGCACATGCGCTTAATATAACACAAGCATCCTATTATATTTCAGTAAGCACTGCAAGTCATCGTTTTATATTTTCATAAAGTGGATCAATATTAAATAGTATATTCAATAAGCTTCTTCTGCGTTTCTACCCCTCTAGAAGATAATACTGGGAAGAATTCTATTTGTTAACAGCGAATAGATTACACGTAACATGTTATATAACATCATGTAGCCTGCCTGTAATGTGTGTAATGCTACAGGATTCTGACTCTGAGATGATGTGTTGCTGATAACATATATAATGCATTACATATGTCGACTCTCGAGAGCCGCCTCGTGAACATGAATGATATGATATTGGGCTATCGGTATCGTATCGGATCGGATCTTATTCTTTTCTTTCTCTACTCCGTACTATACGGTGGCTCGGTGGTGAGTGGGTAATCTTTCTTGTTCATTCGTTCCTCTAAATCTCATGGCTTGACAAGATGCTTGACACTTTCTATCCGATACGCCCTGTGCTCTCTCTGCCTTTGAGCTAATGTGCCGCCACTAACTGCGATAAGCAATCGAGGGGCGGGGCAGGGCAAAAAGTGCTGGAGTCCTTTTATTATCAGTCATTATCTTTGCATTCTCCCTCACCGTTGAAAAGAATTCGAATAAAATATAATCTCGATTTCCCCTGTTTTGTCGTTGACTCGAGTCAATCGATGCAGTTGGTTAGATCCCACACAATAACCAACAACACTAACAAAAGAGCGAATCAAAAGTTCATCCATATATTTGGTAAGAAGGAAGAAGATGTTCGTTCATCCAACTCGTTATAAATCAGCCAGTGAACAATCAACGTGAAGCCAAGACAACAAGCACCGCGATACTGTCAAGAAGATGGATGACTGGGTACTTACTAGGTACATTGCTTTGTTTACTACATCCACTCCCCTCAACAGTAAGCTGACTATCATTCAACCACCACGGACGATCATAAATGATCATACACCAGTCCGGTACACTCATCTCGTTGCATCTAGCCTCATCTTGTCCGTACAAAGATGTCCATCAGCTAAGCAATTCTATTTGGCAGCTTATGTGTGAGTAGGCAGAACTTGATAATGCAGATCTTTAATTGATCGTCTAGCCGGACCATACCCAGACAAATGCGAATCCAGGTCCGAATTTACTAACCCGTGGACCACTGAGTACACTCAGGAACCACAAAAAAAAAGATACTTTTGCATCTGCAAAATGCAAGGCACGAAAAACAATCACGGTAAGTTTCGAAAATCAGTGGCAGAATATTCCTGGCGTACTTTTTATCTGCGCATGATGATGATAGCAGGCAAGATGACTCGTAAGTGAGTATATGATTTTCCCTTCTATCAAAATCACCCATCAACTGACCCGAATCCCAAAGCCTTGGGTCACACAACATCGACTTCAAATTCAGCCACTTATATATCTTGGCTCCTGTTTTGGGAAAGATCCATGTCGAGGCAGGTGGTGCTATCTATAATCTTTGTTCCTGGTACCTGGAAAATATCTTCTTTCAACTCACATATCTCTACGTTCTCCACTGTTGGGACAAATCTTTCGAACCTCGTTTTCAGTGTTACACCTGAGCAGCTTGAAATGCACTCGATGCATCAGCAGAACAAACCTCCGATGGATTTTACGTCACGGGACTCGTTTGACCAATGAAATCATGGAAACCATACATAGGTCCAGGTACTAGTATTCAAATGTGTTGTGTGCTGGCAGACCTTGTTGCATGCACTAAGTCTATACTTTCAAACAGATGAAGGATTGAAAGACGTGCGCAATGACTATTTTATGGAAGTCCATATAATATTTCCATCTGATGTCGACCTAGTACCAACATCACCAAATCAACACTCAGGAATGAGTGGAATATGTGGATGAAACCAATCTTGTAAATCTCACGTGTACCATTATCTCCCGACATTCCCGGCTTGGAAGGTCCGAAATATCATACATAAGTTTTGATATGCACGAAGTGTGTGACTTTTTGAGTTCGGCTAGTTGCAGACTCGGTACTCTAATGGCCTGCACGGGAGGTTTATTTTCCTCGCAGGTCCTATATTTCTCAGTATAATATTAGAACACATATTACTACTATTTCCCGTGAGCTAAGTGGCCCTGATGGTTATAGACCTGCTGTCTACTAGACCATCTCATCATAGATCTAAAACTTCTATTATTTTTACCATTTGAATGACCATTTAGATGTCTAGTGCACGATTCATGATGATAGAGGAATTTCATGTCTAGTATCGACTACAGCACATTTCACCATCATTAATAGCCTATAAGCATGTCATATTGTGATTTCTTCTAGGCAAATTAACCGCTACATTCCACTTCACAGTCAAATCCTTCTACTTCCACGTGCAAAGTTGACGCTAAACCACAAAACTTAGCTCAGAACCTCATACATCTTACAAATACCAAATAGCTATCCTCGCAAACCGCAATTCTATGACGCATCTGGTATCACCCACAGAAGAACGAGATAGTGTTGATCCCATGAATTGGTATTAGTGCTTGTCGATCAACCTGGGGTAGGTAGGGTGGGTAGGCTCTACTTGTGAGAAAAAAAGAGGCCAGAATTGATCGCCCTGATAAACTCTCTGATAAATCAATCAATAATAAAATTATAGAAACTAATAGCTTTAAATAAATCCTTGGATAATCTACAATCATAAAATTAATCAAACATTCAAATTCCCTGAATTGTAATGGAACAATTAGATTATTGAAGGGCTTTGTTAGTAGTTAATTCCGGCCTGTTTTTTCTCCTACGAAGAGCTTATATACCACCGTATATAGATAGTATCAATACAAATCCATCTATATCTATATCTATACCTCCCAA